ACACCCGGTTTTAGCATAGAAAGTCGCATAGTACGGCTTGCGTGATTCTCATTTAAAAAGTCCCAAATCAGTTATTTGGAATTCTGATAGGCAAAATATTTCATGGACATACGTGTTCAACTGATGACGAAAAATTGTAGAAAAATATGACTTTGCTGTCGAGATATTGCGGTTTTAAAAGTAAGTACGCATGTAAAAATGCAGTAAAATGCCGCGATGTACAGTATCTGACGTCGTATCCTTATGGTTTTGAACAAAAACTAATGGGGACGGTGCTTATTCACTTTTTGTACTGTTTATGTATTGTATTGTTTAAATAATTAAAAAAACCAATGTGTTCTACACAATTATATAGATGTTTTATACAACAATTTCATAGCTTATATTCTTTGAATAAATGAAAGATTACTAAAGTAGTTGACATGGTTGATATAACCTATCAAGAAATCACTTCTCAATATTCTTTAATGTAAACCGTGTGATCCAACCACTTTCACTCTAAAAATTCCAAATATGGTATTATTTCAAAGATTATAAAAACCTCGCGATCATGAAAAATGACATACGATAAGGTAACATCAGTCAACATAATATCAAAACTCCAGAACTCAAAGATACGTGTACGTGGTTTTATGGGTTCTGGCAAGGCCGAAGGGAAGACTCCGAAGGTATGAGAATAAATGAATAAGTTATCCTAAGTCGAGTCTGATTTTGCTATTTTATCACAGACATCAGCAATTTTACCCCCCCCCAGGAATACAATTTGTATGGACATTCTCGGTGTCAACATCACGCATTTAGGTGTATCCAATAAAAATAGTACCATGAATTGAAGAAGCTTTTTATTTGAAGATTCTAGTTGAATTTTGAAGGAAGTTATATCATTTTTTGTAAAATTCAAAATAAATCATAAAGGGGCAAAAGGCCTGTAGAGAAAAAATAGGAAAAGGAGTGGTATCGATATGGTGAACTTTTTGAACACGCGTTTCTCTTTAACCAGTTATCAAGATATTCTGAAAATTTCACACATCGTCAATTTAATGGTCATCTTGTGAATGGTAACATTATAATTTGAATTATATATATATATATACTTTTCTCTATATTGTTTTAGAAAACACATCAGACACTTCTTTCGTTCTTGGTATCATATTTTCGGAATGAAATGAAACATCTATCCGAATCTCATTGGAACAAAACGTCATAAACACAACGTGTTTAGGTCTCTTAATATTGTAATTGTACAAAGAAAAGTTTGGTTGATTTAAAAAAAGCATCTTGTTAATAAAATAAAAGGCTTATCTTCATTTTTATCTATTTTTTGCATAATTTTTGTTAAATCAACCAAAATTTCCCTTGTATAACTATAATATTGAGAGGTCTAAGAAAATGTTGCATATGCTATTTTGTTCCAACAAAGGTTCGGAGACATTTTATTTCATTCTCAAGAATTGGTAGAAAGGAACTATAAACAATTGCGCTAAAAAACAAAAAAATGTTAACAAAACAGTTATATAGAATATATATAAATAATTTTTGCATTAAATTGTTGCCAATCAGTCAACATTACATAAAGGACCGTGTTTATCCTTTTAACTTTTTCTGAGGTATCAAGGCAACATTTGGCTTAACATCTTCTTTGACATACCTATTTTCTTAAAATGTATTGATAAACTATCAATTTCAGCATTAAGAAGTGTAAATTCAGTCCAAAGCTTCAAACAGGGGAAATCCAATTTTATATTTTTAAGATCCACCATGTTTCAAGAGGAGTATCAGCTGAAATAATGTTTATCTAGGGGGTTTCTTTGTAGATAATAAAAATAGATGTAAATCTTGATGAAATATCCAAACTTAAATGTATTTTGACACTGGTCCTCTGCACTAATTGTTGCAACTTTAAATTTTTTTGAGCTCGCTTATACCACGATCTGAAACCGGATTTAATAATTATTTATATTATATATATTATTAATTATATTATATATTACTGTTTTTGATAACATTTTTTTAATGCAATTGTTTTTTTGTTCCTTTCTACCAATTCTTGAGAATGAAATAAAATATCTTTCCGAACCTTTTTGTTGGAACAAAATAGCATATACAACATTTTTAGACCTCTTAATATTAAAGTTATATAAAGGAAATTTTGGTTGATTTAACAAAAAGTGCTCAAAATTAAAACAAACCCCCCCAAAATAGATAAGAATTAAGATAAACCTTTTATTTCATTAACAAGATACCTTTTTAAATCAACCTTTGTACAGTTGCAATATTTAGAGACCTAAACACGTTATGTTTATGTCATTTTGTTCCAATGAGGTTCGGAAATGTGTTTCATTTCATTCCGAACATATGATACCAAGAACAAAAGGCTACAGCTTTGCTGCACATTATACATTACTATCTAAAATAGTTAGGATAAATATAAATGTTTCTATTTTAACATAAACTGTTTCAATATGGTCATTTGATTGCTTATTTTGTAAATTCAAAGTATTCACAAACATTACTGTTTTGACTATAGCCAGGCGTAAATTGCAGCCGCGAGTACGCCAATCAGGAAAATAGGGGATTATAAATGCGTTCTGCACGGATTAGGGACACGATGTTTACTATTTTAGAACGAGTTCAACCGTATGAAAATTTGGTGGATAATTGCAGTAACATATTAGGACGTATTGAGAACTAATTGTCAACTGGTTTAAACTGATTAAGGACTTAATTGAACTGCTTGGATACGTTGTGTAGACGAGACGAACGCACTATCTAACCCAATCTAAACTTGATACCAACGTACTGCAGACGGAATAAAGAGACGAGATGAACGTATTAAAAACTGCTTATGAACGAATTAGCAAAAATAGCTATCACACCAGAACCAGTTGTCAATGCGTTCTTCAAAATGTTGCCGAATCGGTTTTAAACTGTGTGCGAACTGAATGAACGTACCTACAACGTTCTACGGTCTGTTTACGAACTTCATGGACTTTCCCGGTCGGGAATGTGATTTAGAATTTTGAATCGATTCAAAATTCGATGGCGACCATACCGTTCTGTAATGAGGTCAGATGACCTTCTAGACTAAAGAACGCGTTATACGACGTCGCACACCGACGTGGTGCGACCTGAACGAACTGCGAATGAGATGGACGTATTGACTATTGAAGACTGTTTATGAACTAAGTAGCTAATTATTTTAGACATATTTCCCGACCACAGCCAGATTGAGCCCGTTTTACAACGTTTTCGTAGGACTGGCAAGAACGGGTAAGAACTAGTTTGGTGTGATATGGGTGTAATGAGTAAGTCAATTAGATTCATCATATTTAAATTTGAGGAAACGGGTATATATATGACATAATACTGATACATGTATGAGCGCAATCCGGAAATGACTCAAATACTGGCAAAGACAGAAATCGCGTAATTTCAGAAAACTACTTTTGTTTAGTTTTAGTCGATTAAAGTGTGATTACTCTTAATCTAAAAATCACTCGATATAAGTAAACCACTGTTTTCTCCTTTCCATTTGAACACTCCACATAAAAACACATAAAGATAGTATAATATTAAGTTATTCCAAAATTAGAGGGTAACGTTTTTGTGCGGTCACCCCGTTTGGTCACCCCGTTTGCGAGAGGTGGTGCTTGCATGTAACTAGCCAGATTCTACCACGTCTTTATAGTGAGTTAAAGAAACGTGATACACTTTCTGAGTGCGTGTCAACGTCAAGGCAATTTTCTTTTTCAAACGTTCACAAAAAAAAATAGTGCGATAAAAGACCAAAACAGAGTCTCACTATAGACATGCCCCGTGATCAGAAGAAATGAACTGAGGGGGGAGTAGCTTATTTTCGCTAGAAAAATCTGATCTGATCTGAATGATTTATTTTTTCAAGAGAAAGTTTACAATTGAATTGCTAAATGAAGGCGCAGTACACGGGAAATGTGTTAGGGTCTTCTAGGATTTTTTTGTCAATTTTTTTGCTATAAATCAAACAACAAATTGTCTACACGACCTGTAAAAATATATATAAGCGACGTTTTTATCACAAAATTAATGTCCTATCGGGCGTCTAAAATAAGGTACTGTGTAATTCCCGATATGTTTTGACAATTGTTATAATAAAGGGAAATTAAAATAAATGCTTCCTTTAATCTCCATTTAAGTGTTTATTCAAAAATTATATCAATCTTCAATAGGAATTAAATTGGACACCCATTTCAGTATATGGAATGCATTTTCTTAACATAGGAATGGAATCTAACTGAGAAGAAAAGTGGAAATAAACAAAACTTGAGTGGAATTTTCTCTGTTATTAATATGCACTTATGCTGATTCAAAGAGTAAACCAAAGTAGTATGATTTAAATGTAGTGAAGCTGCGAAAACACGGCGGTAAAGCTTGACGAATGTGAAAAATAAACACCAATATATCTTTTTTTCATATTTATATTTTTATTAAGTATAGTATGATTTAAATGTAGTGAAGCTGCGAAACCACGACGGTAAAGCTTGATGAATGTGAAAAACAAACACCGATATATCTTTTTTCATATTTTTATATATTTTGAAATTAAGTTCCAGTCGGTTTACCGAATTTAACCGGTTAAAACCCTCAGTTAACCGGTTATTACATCCTTGCAACAAGGGTATGTAGTATTTTATATAAATATGAATTTGAGCATACGAAGTCATTTAAAGAAAAATGCGGTTATTATGACTCAATCTCTTTATATCCTATATGGATAGTGCGTTCAAAAAATAAAAATAATAAACATAACTTTGAAATATAACAGAAATGTTGAATTATATCAAGCAAAACTAAAAATGAGCAATCAAAAGACCACAGTTCATCATTTCATGGAGAAATAAATTCATATATTTCACACAAAACGTTTGTATAATGCAATAAAAATGTTAGTGGCCTTTTGTAATTGAGGAAGTTTCAGCCATGTTGATTATTTTGAAAATTCCAAATTTTATTAGCCTAACCTAAAGTAATCCAAGATATACAAACGTCTTGCGTGTAAAATATGAATGTATTTTTTCAACACATATCTACTCAGTGTCTTTTGACTGCTTATTTTTAGGTTTTATTGACGCAATGTAACCCAATTGAAATGCACTATACAGTTATAACAAAAGCAAAGTGTATTTGTAACTTTTATTAGAAGGAAACACGTCTGTATGTAGAAACACTTTGCGACGATGAATATTTGAACAACAAAGCGAAGCGAAGAACGAGGTACAACGAGTTATACTCGGCGTAACGGATTACCAAAATGTATTTCCAAAAACTGCTTCTAGTATTATTAGGAATATGGATAGTAATAGCTAATGTCGACGGACAAGGAGAACAAGACATTTTAGTTACTTATAGGGAGCCAAGACGGAATGAAGCGTAAGTATTGATTTTGAAGATTTTTAAACACTGAGATTTAATTGACTTTTCCACCACAAGATTTAAATATTTCCATTTTACCCTTGTTATACGCAGCCACCGATCATGGATTGGGGCGATGCAATGGTTATTTCTCCATTAAAGTTTCCCATAACTTGCTCAGTATCGACTTTTTCGTGTAAAAACACGGATGGTATCGCAACAGATTTTAGACAGACATATGTTGGATTGTGGCTATTTTCCGAGGATTTAAAAATGTGCATATGTTAGGTCAAATCATTACTTAGAGAAAAAGCACCCATAGAGATGATCAAATAATTACAGAAGAATCATTCTTGATCAGGGTGGCAAGAAATACCATTGTTCAAAGGTTGCTTTTTGAAATAACACTTTTGGAGATGGAACCTTTTGCGTCTGTAACACAACAATCAGTTTAATTGATGGATATAGACTCTTTTATTATCCTGGAATATATGGTTAATCAATGAGACAAACTATCTTTTAAGGAGCAAGCCACAGTATTGCGATGGTAACCTTTTATCTATCCAAATCGAACATGATAAGTCATGATAACTTATTTACAAAATGTATTTATGACAAATTCAAAAAGTGTTAAAAGTGTAACAGAAGGTGGGTGTTATTTTTGTGTATAACCCAGGTATGCCTGCATAGGAATAAACAACACATCTAAGAATGCTCATAGGTGATTCTAGTTGAGTTAGTCATCGATCTGAAACTTCTCGTGGAGCAGCTCCATAAAGTATGGTTTTGCCCTGCTAAAGAACAAGTCAAAATTCACACAGCCAAAAAAGTTATGCAACATTACGTGGGCGGGTTGCATTTTGTCACTGTATACGGTATACTATGCTGTTAAATCACGCCTAACCATCGAAAACGTACAGTGACAAAATATACTGTCGTACACTTTAGATGTACGGTCTCACCATTAACTGATTGAAGCGAAAACTATGATGTAGGTTTTAATTTTTTTTTTAATCAATAGGTTTATTTCATAAATACAAACAAATATACAATGAATAGACAGGGTTTGGGCAAATCGCCTTCCGGCATTTCATGTCACCATATAAAAATTTACAATAGATAGCATGTATGGTAAATTCAATAAGCTAAAATTTGGACAAATATAAAATAAAGATCTGCTGAAAACAATAATTCTGTTAAAGAAAAGGGATGGGGTTGCTGCTGCTAATCATAGGGTGGGGGTGGGTAAAAGAAGGGTTTGATGTATATTTGCAAGTCAACCGTTGTCTATGAAAAATGAGTTTTGTATGTTGATATGTCTAAACCTATAAGTTCTACTTCATGGATAAATCGTTCATTATTTTGTTTTCTTAAGGGACAGTTGAAAAAGATGTGTTTAAAAGTTTCTGGAGTCCGATTATGAACTTTTCCGTAACTCTCTGCCGTAAATGATTTTCGATAGGACAACTAATATTATTCCCTAGACTTGTCCTAATAGGGGACGTCGTCTCATGTGTAACGTCGCAAACTAGAGCGATTTGGACGATGATCTTGCCACGAAGGTGTGAATTGATAACCTCGCGCGTATCCTTGGATTCTAGATAAATTGTAGCACCCTTGACAAAATTACTTCTTATTTTATGAATATTGGGAGATACATAAAATGGTATACGAGCATGGAGCTATTGAAATCGGGTTTCTAAATCATCAAGATTCGTCATAATATCATTATATGATAATATTGTACCTTTGTTCCGCTATCTTATTTTGATTACGTCAAATCATATTACAGGTAAATAGGTGTCCTAGAAATATACGAAAAATCGTAAATTTACGGCGTTTTAAAAACATACGGAAAAGTTCAGAGTTGGCTTTATCGTAAATTTACGACAAATCCGTAAATTAACAATTGAATTTACGATACGGAAAAGTTCAGATTTTCCCGTATATTTCTAGGACACCTATTTACCTGTAGTAAATTTACGATTCGACGTAATGAAAATAAAAAAGCGGAACACAGGTACAATATTATATGACGAATCTTGATAATTTAGAAACCCCATTTCAATAGCGCCATGCTCGCACATAACATTATATATATCTCCGAATATTCATGAAATAAATATAGGTCATTTCATGCTTGATGTTCAAAATGAATTTTATTCCAGGGTAATATGATATTGACCGAACGAGCGTAGCGAGTGAGTGTCAATATTATATTTACCGAGGTCAATGACGTATTTCCCTTGGAATAAAATCCATCTTTTTACCATAATAATGATAACGGTATACAACGTACAGACGTCAAATGATCAAGAGGTTGGAAGCTAACATCCCATGGTCACATTTTCGAGATGAGGAACATTTTGTAATTCAAATAACTGTTGTCTCGTAAAACTTCTTGAATATGTATTTTTTTTACATTAGTTTGGCACGGTAGCGACCAACAATTTTTGTAAATGTTTAATCTCCTTTTACATTTCTTTCAGAACCTACATGATTGTTGCGCCCAGACGGTTCCGACCGAACCAGGTCTACAGGTTGCACGTTGTGCTGTTGAAGCTTGAACACTTTGACATTCATTTCCACGCTGTTATCCGCAACGTTGACCAACGCATGGAGGTCGGTAGTGTCAGCGAACACTTTGATAGACTAGGAGGTCGAGATTTAGAAATAAAGGTAAACGATTTAACGTGGAAACATATCCTTCTGTAGATTGTCTCTTGGGAAGAAGAAAATTTTCAAATTCTCTTGTAGGTGATCTCTTAACTCTGGGGGTTCCCCCTTTTTTCAGTACGACTCATGTATGTAGTCTTAGATCAAACATAACTTCTGGAGATCCAGCCCAGCCGGAAGAAACCTCTTTTTGCTGGTGACAGATCTGAATCAAAATATGATAATATTGACCTTACGCCATGTTTACACCACTTATCCCCTTATCCTATGTTAGGTGCCTGAATTTCTAGTCCCCGGGAATTATTCTCTGTATGTTGAGGGCAAGCACAAAGATGGCGTGGGGGGAACTATATTTCACAACGAAACATCTTTAATATTCGACACAAAGCAGATATCTGTGTTCATTGAAACTGATAAGATGATTTACAATTTTGGGAATACAGGTAAGACGACATACAAATGTAATGTGAAGTGCCTCTACTTTGTAAACAAAGGATGGGTATCGATATGGCGAACACACGTTTCTCTTAAACCAGTCATCAAAAAATTCTGAAAATTGTACACAGTGTCAATTTAATGGTCATCTTTTGAATTGTAACAATATAATTTGAAAAATATAAAATCAACCCAAAATTCCTTTGTATAACTATAATATTGAGAGGTCTAAAAACATGTTGTATATGCTATTTTGTTCCAACAAGGTTCGGAAAGACATTTTATTTCATTCTCAAGAATTGGTAGAAAGGAGCAAAAACAATTGCACTAAAAAAACAAAAAATGTTAACAAAAACAGTTATATAAAACATTTCTAAATAATTTTCGCATTAAATTGTTGTCAATCAGTCAACATTACATAAAATACCGTGTTTTTTAAAGAATGTTTTCAATGATTGGTTTAAGAGAAAAACATTGTTGAATTCAGTTCTCCATATCGATACCAATCCTTTTGAAAAATAAAAGTTGTAACTAAGGAATAAAATTAATATTCAGATATTGACATGCTGTGATACATATCCCATGAAAACTTCCGGTTACAAAACCTAAGGAGAGTGTAACACATATATGTATACTTTTATTACTTTGAGTTCTGAACACGCATATTCAATATTTTAGCAACATTCCGAGTGATCCCAGTCATGCCAAATCTCATGCCTGCACACGGAACAGTGGACATTTTCATCAGAGAAAACAGTGACGTCATCGTAAGAAGATGGCTCGCTCAAGCTATTAACAATGGTGAGGAAATCTAGAATCCAACTCTCTTTTGACGCGCGAAATGGGAAAATTTGAATATTTGATGCAGTATTGATTAAAGGCAATACAAATCCTGAGCCAATCCATGGATATTTCGTTCATGGTGAAATAGAAATACACTAGTGTATCCTCCAACTGGATATTCGTTATAGTTCGATAATTTTGCATACCTGGAAAATGAAATTTGTTCTCAAATCATACAAATTTTTGTGAAGTCTAATATTGCATACTTAAGAGCAGCAGCGTATATCATTTGGTCTTTGCGACTGTTTATTTCAAGGACTATCGATCGACCCGATAGTTGTCAAAATTCAAATTATTCTTAAATCAACTTCAGTATAGTGTGATGATGTATAAATAGCTAGTATTGAAATTATTCATCAATGTATTCTTTTTTGTATTTTTTTCTTCTCAAAGGAATTATTGAAAAGACATTCAACATAGCAGGACGTCTAGCCACAAGAGCTGTATGGACTATTGAGATACATGCATTTGTAAGTTCTTTAGTTACATATTGTAAATATAATTTCCCCGTTTATTTGGTTAATATTATTACATTTAAAGACCTTTCAATGGTTCTAAGAGTCAGTCTGACATTTGTTTTTCACTCGACCTTTCGATGACTGTACGAGTCAGTTCAACCCCGGAGCTTCACGAACAGACGAAGAGCATACGATAGCACAGAGTCTAATTCAAAATGTTCACCCAACTTCAAAGAGGTTTATAATCCGTAACTTCATTAATCTATAAAATATTTTTCTATTCTCAATCTAAAAGTCCATAACAACAAGTTTATGGTCTAAGCAACATAACCACCGTGATAACTGTACATGATTATGATGTTTCAACTTCGTGGTTATGTTTACATTTTCTCTTTGAAAACCCATGTATCCATGAAAACAATGCCAAGTTTCTCTTTTATACACCATTTTCATTGATTTCCATATAAAACAGAAGGATGTACTTCAATTGCAAAAAGAAGAATTTTGTCACTCTCTCATGCCTTACCATCGACAACGTACACTTTAGATGTACGGTGTCACAATTAACTGATTTGAAACAAAATCTATGATGTAGGTTTGATGTAGGTTTTACATAAAGGATAGCCTATTATGTTTAACTTCGTGTGTATTCGCTTGGAAAGACTTTTAGCTTTCTGACAACGTTAACAGATTCTCTAGCAGTGCTCGATTTTTCTCGTACTAAATCTACCCACGACATTTATCGGTTGGAAGATGCTAGTTTTTTCACAAATGAAATGATTGCAATGATTTGCAACATTGATTCAAATTCTGAAGATTATCAAATTTTCTGAAAAAGTTCGGGCTAAATCCCCATTAAAACAAAGTTGAACAAGTTCATTATTACCACCAAAAAGTGGTGACATATTGATATGGTCTCCGTTTTTTCTGACGGCGGTTGGTGTTTGGCGGTTGATGGTTGGCAGTTGGTGGTTGACAACTTTCAATAACTTAACAAATAATATTTAGAATGACTTCAATTTTTTTCAAAACCATCTACCCTCTGTAAAGAAAAAAAGGTGCACTGTCCTTTACCATTCACATCTTTTTTATTTTGCGTTGTTATCATACCAAACATTCAGTATAATGTATGAATACTTTGACCAAATGGAGAAACTTTCAAAGAATTTCGTAAATATGGTAAAACATTAGAAAGGATTGAATACAACAACTCCCAAAATCGAAAGTGTGGATTTTTACCATAAATTGACGTCATAAATTTGAGAAATTCTATACCCAGCAATTTGCTCAAGAAGGGGATCTTCTGAGACATAAAAAAGTCTTCCATCCAATAAAACTTTGTGTAAAATATCAGTTATAGAATGAGTCTTATTAATTACAACCATTTTGTGATAGAATTTGAGGTAATATCCTTCAGATTCAGAGGTCTCTTCTCAGTTCAAAATTAGGGGTAGGGGTAACCTATATTATAATAAACTTGAAATTGTAAGGTAATTATAACCATTAATCTTTCTCAATGACCCATACATATGTTATATATCCTATACTTAGCTAATGCATACCAACGTTTATGTCAGATGTAATTTATTAATGTGTTTATTGAGCAAAATGGTTGCATCCTATCCCTTATTTCACTACTATTTAAGGCGTAAAATTGTCTAAAAATCATGTATAGACCGCTTTTGGCACTTCCATAATTTTCTGTCAGTGCGTCAATGTTTATTTTTCGAACTTGTCAGTTATGACTAGTTTGGAACGGGCTTTACAATGGTATGAAGAATATGACATATAGAAAATGATGTCCTAGGCTTAGATGAAATGAATAACACTACAGCAAATTATGATTTTTGACGCAATTTAGAGGAAAAAGTCACATTAGTGAGTTTGTGACACAAGGATTTTAACCATTGAAAACTTTTTAAATTTTTCATCTAATTTCTTAAAATGAGTGGCATCGATATGGAGAACCTTTTGAACACACGTTTCTCTTAAACCTGTCACAAAAAAATCTAAAAATTTAACACATCGTCAATTTAATGGTCATCTTTTGAATGGTAACAATGTAATTTGAAAAATATATATATACTTTCATCTATATTGTTTCAAAAAACACATCAAACACTTGTTTTATTCTTGGTATCATGTTTCCAGAGTGAAATGAAACATCTTTCCGAACCCCATTGGAACAAAACGACATTAACACAACATATTTAGGTCTCTCAATATTGTAATTGTACAAAGGGGTTGATTTTAAAAAAGTATCTTGTTAATGAAATAAAAGGTTTATCTTGATTTTTATCTATTTTGGGGGGATTTTGTTTTAATTTTTTGAATACTTTTTTTTAAAGTCAACCAAAATTTTTTAACAAAAACAGTTATATAAAATATTTCTAAATAATTTTCGCATTAAACTGTTGTCAATCAGTCAACATTACATAAAATACCGTGTTTTTTTACAGAATGTTTTCAATGATTGGTTTAAGAGAAAAACATTGTTGAATTCAGTTCTCCTTATCGATACCACTCCTTTCCACCAGTTATTCACAATATCTACGCCATGTGCCTCCAAAAGTTTAGTAATATTATACAAAATTTTGAAAATGTTATGACTGATAAAGGACCATGCACCTTTTTTCTTTACAGAGGGTACATGTTTTCAGAAGTTCAAATCTGACTTTAGATTTGAGATCTGACCCTCAATGACCTTCTCAAGGTCAAAAAGTTTTTTTTTCAACTTGCTTTAAATTGACCCATTTTTTCCATGATCTACAAGTTCTCAATAGTTCAAATCTGACTATAGATTTGACCTTCAATGACATTCTCAAGGTCAAAAAGGTCTTTTTTCATCTTGCTTCAAATTGACCAGTTTTTTTCAAAACCATCTACAAGTTCTGAGAAATTCAAATCTGACTTTAGATTTGAGTTTTCATCTTCAATGACCTTCTCATGGTCAAAAAGGTCTCTTTTCAACTTGCTTCAAATTGACCAGTTAATTTTTTTTTCAAAATCATCTACAATTTTGATATGAAATCATTATCCACGTGTCAATGAGTTCATAGCGTTACATTTCAGTGGTGTTCTTAAGTTGATCCAAATGGAATTACTTGATAGATCAAGAAATTATGTGGCATACCAACACCCACGATGCCATCTATTTTTCAATCTATATAGAATATGGTCAAATTGACATAAAGTGAAGTAAAATGCTGTGTGAGAAAATAGGCGAGGCAATTGAGGCCAAATGTCAAATATTTCAAAAAGAATTATAGTATTGGTATAATTGTACTTATTAGGGGTATTTAACAAGATAATAAGGTCAAACAGGATATGATACTCAATGTTAAGTCAATACACACTTGCAGCAAATTCTCAGGAGAAAATTAGTTATTTGTTCTCCACATTCCTAAATGCACTGTTTTCAAATATCAAATCTCTTTTCTTCCGAAAACAAAAATTCTGACGCATTTTGTAGCATAATGGGGTCACTGCACTTAATGGCCCCTATCTCAGACTATCTAGGTCCAAACTCTTAAATAATCTCCAAAGTATAATTTGACATTGTAAACCTAAAAATAATCCATTCTGACCATGGCCATTCTGGCGGTGGGGTATTTTCCATTTTGAAATTGATTTTCATAAAATTAATAAACGACCCCTTGGCGATGAAAGGGTTGATATCCAATTTTGCGTTCACTAAAAATTCAAATGGAGGTCAGATTCTTAAAACGGACAATCTAAGCTTTCCAATCGTATATTTGAACCTTAGTGCAGAGGTGGTCATCTATATCTAGTTTGCATTACTACTTATTATGTATTTGTATTTTTAGGGACATGTCTACACAAAAAATATATACGCAGTTGAAGCCTGTAAGTAACATATATAGTTAGTACCCCGGATAGCCATTTAAATAGTCTGTAGCTCATTCTGAACAGAGAATTACTGATTGTAAATTTTCTCCATAATTTAGAATATTATTCTTTATCATTCAAGAAACAAATTTTAAAAAGTTACTATTTATAATATTTTAGTGGCTGTCTGGTAGTCCTATTGAATACCATAAAGAGCACAGTCAGGAAGAAATGAGTTAAAATGAGCATGTAATTAGTGAACCTTCAATGAAATTACAATGCACATTTATTAGGATAAAATTATTGAACACGTTTAATCTGATTCTCAATTTTATGAAAAGGGCCAGAAAGAGTAGTGGTGAATGTTACTATGCCTCAAACAATCAAAACATCAGACTATGGCCTTGCCGGAGTAGTTACAGGATTGTGAGTAAACATTATTTTAAATGTATCCATTTTGCCTCGTGTCTATGTCATCGAAGACAATATCTTATAATCAATTCTGGTTGCTTGATTTGTCAATAATGACCATGGGAAGTATTCAATCATAATCAAAAAAAGAAAAATACAAATAGGTGAATGTTTTGATACATATGATTAAGTTAGTGTACCATAAATATGAAAGAAACAAAAACTAACAACATTCCAACGCATGATCCAAGGAGAAGAAAGAAAAGAAAAAAGCTGAATGTCACTCTCTTCCCTAATTATAGTTTCACTAGAAAAGCAATTTATTTTGGGATGTATGTGATTGGATTCCCTGTTGTGTCAATGATTTTAATTATGTTTATAGCTACTACCCAAGCTGGATTTCTTTGAAAGGAAACGGGACGATTGATTTCAAAGTAGAGGGCTTTGACAATTCAGGCTTCAGCATTCCCATACCTTATGTAAGTTTGAAAATTTCAGTATATTAATCAAGCCATAATTTATAGTGACGTCATACATGTATGGATGACGACTTTGTAAGTTAGATGTGACAATTCTAACTTCTTTATTGAATACCCATAGAAATAAGACAGCTTATTGCATTTTCTCAAAAAGGCAATATTCTTTCAATGTTTCAAAACGAATATGAAAAGGTATCTTACTCCTTTAACTCAAACATCACTGTATATAAGTTGGAATAACTGCAAAATATTGACCAAATGCTTTTTGACAATCAAGTTTTTGATCAATTATATCTATCAATACGGCACTTTGATTTAAATATATAAACAAAGAAGTGGTATCGATATGGAGAACTGAAAGAAACAATGTTTTCTCTTTAACCAATCATTGAAAACATTCTGTAAAAACAACACGGTATTTTATGTAATGTTGACTGATTGACAACAATTTAATGCGATAATTATTTAGAAATATTTTATTTAACTGTTTTTGTTAACATTTTTTTGCTTTTTTAGTGCAACTGTTTTTGCTCCTTTCTTCCAATTCTTGAGAATGAAATAAAATGTCTTTCCGAACCTTGTTGGAACAAAATAGCATATACAATATGTTTTTAGACCTCTCAATATTATAGTTATACAAAGGAATTTTTGGTTGATTTAAAAAAATTATTCAAAAAATTAAAACAAAATCCCCCATAATAGATAAAAATCAAGATAAACCTTTTATTTCATTAACAAGATACTTTATTAAAATCAACCAAAATTTCCTTTGTACAATTACAATATTGAGATACCTAAACAAGTTGTGTTTATGTCGTTTTGTTCCAATGAGGTTCGGAAAGATGTTTCATTTCACTCTGGAAACGTGATACCAAGAACAAAACAAGTGTTTGATGTGTTTTCTAAAACAATATAGATGAAATTATATATATATATTTCAAATTATATTGTTACCATCTAAAAGATCACCATTAAATTGACAGTGTGTACAATTTTCAGAAATTTTTGATAAATGGTTTTAGAGAAATTTGTGTTCAAAAAGTTCGCCATATCGATACCCATCCTTTTCCTGTTTTGACAAATATGATGTAAATATTTTCCAGTTCGAATACCAATATCATTTTATGATCACGATGGATGAGCTTAGCAGAAAAACAGGTGTGGTAGATCTTTCTGGAAAGGCACTAAGGGCTAAAGCCTGGCTATATGATTACCATTACTACGAGACTAGATGGGGTGAGGCCACTACAATCATGTATAACCATGGCTTGGAGATGTTCTTCGTAGAAGATACGGTCAGGACGTTCAAGCCAAAGATGCCATTTGACGTTCATGTAAGTACATGCCGATATGAATCACAGACCCCCAAAAATAATCACCACACAAGAATAGTTAAAAATCCAGTTATACTAGCATTTTGATAAATATTAATAAATGAGTCTGGCCATAGGAAAACCGGTCTTACCACAAAAATAGAATTGTGCTACAGAGCCAAAAATGTGCCCAAGATTAAGAGGAAAATGTGCTAAATTCAAATCCGACTTTTTGGTCTGTATATGCAAGGAAAAATTGTTTAGACATAAGCTATGGCTCATTTGAAAGGTCTTTTTGTGCTTTCTAAGATTAACAAAAAATCAGAATATTGAAAAAATCTGTGATAAGACCCCTTTTCCTGTGGCCTGGCTCAAATTACAATTACTTAACATATCAAGAAGAGGCAATATCATATTTTATTATATACCCAATATGTAACACTAATCCTGATTGGTCAATACCTAGTCACGTGTTCCGAAATAGATTTACTATTTCCCTCGGAAAGTTATATTCCCTCAAATGTGACGTCAGCGGGAATATACATTTGAACTATTGCCCGCTGACGTCACGATTACAGCTTCTATTACCCTTGGAAACGTCTGCGCATCATCACTGCGCAGACGAAAAACAGAAAAATGGAGGATGAGCACAAACACAAATCAACTCCGTTCACCATGGCAGACGTGCGTGAACGATACAATATAAGCAACGTGTATAAAGTTCCCAAAGCTCAATACGTCTGTGTAATTTCAAGTGTTATGATAATCTATTCCGAGTGTTAAACGCGATTAAATTTGTCAAGTGAGAGTCTCAGAGGCAAAAATTTCTGTTGAGCATCTGATGACGTCACGGCTTATAATGCTAACAATGGATCCGGGGAGGGGGCTTTCTAAGCCTTTTTGGCCTTCGAGGAAACGGGACAAGAGTCAGTATAGGGTATATAATAAAACAAATAGTGACTGCCTAATTTCGAGCAATAGTGTAAATGATTTCCCCTTGGGAATATCCTCTACAATGTACTATTCCCTCAGCCTGCGGCTTCGGGAATAGTACATCGTAGAGGATATTCCCTCGGGGAAATAATTTACACTATTGCCCTCAATGGCAGTCACTATTTGTATAATCCTCATACAAAAAGAAAATAGGATTACTAAAATTTGATAAACGCTCCACATCCGCCATATTTTATTGAAATTATGCTTTGTTTTTCATTCAATATTTATTTCCATCAACTACATTTAATTTTCTATGTGTTTTGTTTTATAGATTGCTATAAGGCAAATAGATGGTACTCGTCCAGAACAGTCAATAGTTGGATATGTTGAAATACAAATGAACTATCAAACAGAAGGAGGCGCTTCAAGGAAACAGACTGAACGTCTTCCCTTTCCAGATGATAACATTGTCACACTTACTGTCATTCCTAGAGCAAATGATCAGCTTATTAATTTCATTGTAAGATTATGGTATTATTTTTGTTTAAATACAAAATATGATACCTAGGTAGAATAAATCAGTCATTAGTCACACTACAAGCTCCATATGAAGAATAGTTTATTATTTTGCCGGTGCACGTTTCACAATACTTTAAAGTACTTTGTACTCGAATGCTGTTTCGTTTAAGGTAACATATAGGGGGAATGATATGGTACTGCCACAGATCAGGATGACTTCTTACAGGGTTTTCTCCATGCACAATTTCTATATCCAGGTTCAGTCATCTACATCTAAACCAAGGGTAAGTAATGTATACACGTGGCGATTACGAAAAAATATTTTAATATATATATATAGACATAATGAGAAATATATTGTAATATAGTATTTTGTGATATAAGAGAGCATATGTGAGAATCCTGCCGCAAATTAAACAAATTCATTCCGATACCCAAATCTCAAAAAATTGTAGCATTCTTATAAAAACGATGTAGGGTACTCATTCTGATACTCATTACATCTTTCTGTCTTCAACATACTAGAGTGAAGCTAATAGAAGGCCATATAATTTCTCATGATGTAGGGTTCTCATTTTCTGAAATGTTAACAGTTAATGACGTGGCAACTATTTGTCTCACAGAGGATGAAGGGAGCTTTCATTTTGTGATAGTAGTAAACTGGTTCTTGACCGAAAATAATTTATTTTGTAGGTGAATTCATACATGATCTTCACAGTGAAAACAAACACTTTTGTAGATACTATATTCTACCATGTAAGTAAACAAATAAATACTTTGATATTGTCTCTCCATTTATTTCTGGAAATCATTAAATGGAGCAGCGAGAATAACCATGATTACTGCAATTACATAAGCGGGAATTGATACAAAATTGGCAAACAATTTTGTTATATAGAAATGGGCTGTAGTAGCAACTTGTTATCGAATGTCATTGCACTTGTATCATTAATAGACTTTTGGTAGAAATCGTCCTTTTTATTACGTATTTTAGATTGTATGCATGGGAAACATCGTACTTTCAAACCAGCTTCATATGTCTTCATTACAAAAGACATTCTCAGTTGCCATTTCTCGAGATATGATGCCAAGTGCGAGATTGGTTGCCTACTTTGTTAAACGTGGCGAGGTTATCGCGGACGCTCTAAGCTTTTACGTTGATCCGACAGCCCTTCATGAGGTAAGAGTTATTACGAAATGTTCTTTTTTAAATTTCAACTTCTATATATAAAGGAACCTATAAAAATATATATTAAAATAACAGTAACGAACAACGAACAATTATACATGGTGTTGCATTAATTTCAAATGAATTAAAACATTCATATCAATGTACATGTTTTTGTTAAGGTTGACCTTGAAATAAATTGGGGTAAAGACTTTGGTCCCTCGTTCGTGGAAGTTATAGGGGAAGCTGACCCCGGAACTCTCATAGCCTTCAATTCATTGAACTACTACCTGTACCATCTCGGGATGAGAAACTTCATTACGGAACAAGATGTGAGTTACTCTGACCTATAAATAATATGCAATATGCAAAAAATCAGGTACCAATTCTTTATGCATATGTAAGCTCAAATGTTACAAATAGACCAAAGAGCATTAGAAAATACTGCAAAAAGAAACATACTTTGAGCATAATCAGTCATGAGGAAAACAAGCCCTAATATCCAAAACTTTGATAAATTCGCAACACATTCCGAAATCTAATTCTAATTACCTTCCAGTATAGAATAATTCTTTTATCATGTATTGTATTGTATTGTATTGATTGCTTGTCTTGTATTGTATTGTATTTTCTCATATCACTAACGAAGAGACAGCTATATACAGGGTGGGCCAAAAAAACCCCCCCCTAGCCAATATTCCTGATAAATATTCATTTTTTAACATGCACACCACCAATGATATACCATTTTAAAGATAATTTAATTTGCAACAAAATGGTATATAATAGAACAATTTTCAACAACCGTGGCTCGAGATATAACCATTTATGTGACATGGGGGTAAAAAAACACCTTTTCAATTTTCATCGATTTTGCGAACAATTGCCCATTTCTACCAAATTTTACTATTCAGTTAGAAATTGCAACATTTTCATGAGTCTTTCATAATTGGGTATAATATATTGTTTTCATTCAGTTTCTGAACCACACATGCTCAATATACATGTGTATGCTTATAAAACTAAGTAATTTCTTCTTCAGTCTGTCCAAATATGGCTCAATAGACCCCCCCATCCATCTTCTGATCAGATTATTCACTTAAAACGCAAAAGCCACTGGTATAATTGATAGATCTCTGCGGAAGTACCATATCCAACTCCTAATTATTCATTCCTTATGTTTGTCTACACCCCTGATGGGCTAGGGATCTTCATACTCCAACTGTTCTAAATGCCCCAAGTACTATACATGTAATAAACAGGACATACTCTATATATCAGTAAGCAAGAATAGTGACATTTGCAACAAAAGGCTACTCAAATCGAGATGACATTTTTCTGAAAGGATAATGATGTCCACTCGGTGTTTCCAAAAAGGAAAGACCGTACAGGCCCTGTTTTTGTTGAACCAGGAACAAAAATATACTCTGAATATTAATGAAATGATGTTTTAAAAAGGACTACTCAAGGATATAAAAACACTTGAAAGAAATTTTATTTTCTGATAGGACAGTGTTCCATCACACAGTTCTTATGTTTTTGGAAATTCAAAATGTCACCATCTCTAGCTCAGACAAATGGCTTACTGGCAGTCCAGATGCCAATAATGTTGATTACCATACCCGGGGGCATCTAGAACAGTTAGTATTTAAAGATATTCTGCCTATCTGGGATGTAGAGGAACTAAAAGAAATAATAACTAGCAGTTGAATGGTACTTCCGCATACATCCCTCAATTATGCCATCAACCAATGGCTTCCGCGTCTGAGGCGAATAATCCAATCAGAGGATGGGTCCGGGGGTGGGTGTATTGAGCCATATTTGGACAGACTGAAGAAGAAATAAATTAGTTTTATAAACATACACATGTATATTGAGCATGTGTGGTTCAAAAACTGAATGAAAACAATATATGATACCCAATTAAGAAAGACTTATGACAATGTTGCAATTTTTAACTGAATAGTAAAATTTGGTAAAAATAGGCTATTGTTCGGGAAATCGATGAAAATTGAAAAGGTGTTTTTTGACCCCCATGTCACATAAATGGTTATATCTCGGGCCATGGTTGTTGAAAATTGTTCTATTATATATCATTTTGTTGCAAATTAAATTATCTTTCAAATGGAATATCATTGGTGGTGTGCATGTTAAAAACTGAATATTTATCAGGAATATTGGCTAGGGGGGTGGTTTTTTTCGGCCCACCCTGTAGATATAGCCATCTTTCATCCTAAAAGTCACACGTGCAAAATGAGATTTACTTGTGACACCACTGATTTATAAACATCATTGTATAATGTATTATATTGTTTGATATTGTACTTTTTTTCATATACTGAAGAGTATAGTATGCTAGATGTTCATTTCATTGTTGCATCCCTGTACATAATAATCGGTATGTTATTAGTTCCTTTTCCATTAAATTCAATGTTATAGATCGTTGATGAACTTTTGACGTATGACAGCCATACCAACATTAGTGCTAGTGTTAGTTTTCGTGGCGAGAATTGGGAGAAGGATATCGTATATTTTCCAACACAAACGTATGGTGCTGATGCAAATACAACTTTTGTAGTAAGTTGCATCCTTAGATCAATAATATCCCATGGCAATTAAAATGCCTTCATTTCACAGTAATTTAGGTTTTGGCAGCAAAACTATTGTCTGCAACATCTATTTGACTTGACTGTAAGAATGGTACTGACATGTACTAAATCTGGTATATATAAGTATAGCATTGAATTTGATTATATATGTTATCTTTCGAATAAGTGTAATTATTTCAAGCTGTCGAAATGTACAACCATCGTTATTTCTTATTATAATATCATATGTATTCACTTTAAAGTTTGCTGGCCTCCATGTGTTTACCGATGCCAATTTAACAACAGTACCAAGTAAGAATATTAAAAATCCAATCCGCCGATTACTATTACGCAGAGACTTAAAAAATCTTGTCTTGCTTTGATTCCCGTTGAACCCTAAATTCCCCACCTCTGGAATCGGAAACTAATGCAAGACATAAGTTCCATAAGAAGCAAGTAATAAATAAACCATTCATTGACACATTGACCAATTGGGAATATCCGCAATTTATTTTATCCATTTAATATTTTGCCACATATACTACTCTGGATACTCATTGCATATCCTTCATACATTAAAATACAACGATTTCTGATCACCCATTGGTTGGTTTTCGAGGTGAATGCAACGCTACCAATGGTTGGCTAACTTGCTACGACGGAAGCTGCTACAGGGTAGAGAAAAGGTGCGATAAACAGGTTGATTGTAAAGATGGCGCTGATGAAAGTGGATGTATGTATCTATATTAGAAATGATTCTATTAGAAGTGTTTTAGAGATAGGAAAAAACCCCGAAAGGATCAAGCAATATTTTTCGAAATAGCTCTAATGAGACGATATCGTCAAGTTGTGTTGTTGTAAGAGTGTAACTGTTACTCTTGTGGTATTGGCTATTGTGCTTCAGGTTATATTCATGATGAATGGAAAATTGTGCCTCTGGGATTGTGCTTCAGGTTATATTCATGATGAATAGAAAATTGTGCTTCGGGTTCTATTCATGATGAATAGAAAAAAACACATGAGTTGGTAGCATTTGTAAAACATCACAAACCACGTATCTTAAATGTGAATCATTTTAAAGCACGATGCATGTATTGACATACACGTTGCTTTGTTGGACCAATAGGTAAAAGTACAGACTTGGAATTGAGGAGATGGAACCATCAACAAGATTTCTATTACTGGACTTTACCTTACTACGAGAAGTACGAACATGTATCATGGATGTGGAACACAGACTACACAAAGTACGCAGCTATTTTTTCATCTCAATTCTGCTCCCATAATTATCCTCAAGTTCAAACAGCGTGAATGAGTTTTGCCGTCGGAGTGTTATTTTAACAGGGAGTTTTTAAGCTTGCGATGTTTTTCACAACCTAAACGTGAACGGAAAATATTTAAACGATGTATTTGCATGGGCGATTGGTAATACGTATAGGTTGGCTTTTCGATTTCATATGCAAGCTTAAACTCCCTAATAATCAACACTGGTTACGTCTTTCTAACAAAATGGATAAACTTCCGTCAGAGGACACTTTTGTTTTCGTCATTTTCACCTAGAAGTAGGTCAATTTGTATAAAAATATTTCACCCTTTTGTTAATAGTAGCATCCGGTCACTGATGAGCGAATCAGTTACAAGTATATATCCAAGGGCTCCAATAATAAGTGAGAATTCCTCATTTCAGCAACCAGGACGTTAATAGGCCATAACATGAAGCAACCAAGACGTTATGAAATTCACCAGATAACGTTCTGGTTGCTGAAGTGAGGAAAACTCATTTGATTATTTGGAGCTGATTGATATATTTGCTCGTGACTGCCTAGATTTTCATTAACCGGATGTTACTATTAACATACGCATAAAATATTTGGATACAAATCGACCTCCTTGGTGGAAAAAATGATGAAAATAAAAATGTCTTCGACGGAAGTTTATCCGTTTTGTTATAAAGACGTAACTTCTTTATAACCAGGTGGGTACCAGTGATCAAGCCGATTGGTAAAGGGCCATCTTTTACTTAGGTTATTATCGATTTATTAAGAATTTCTTACTTTACTTCTTTGTACACAAATATTATATTATAAAGAAATAGCACAAAGTTATATTATTTTTTCCAGGCCAAGTGGTCAAAGCTTCTCGTTGGCTCCGCCACCAATGCAGCCATTTACATATGTACTATCTGCATTGTCAGTCAGCAGAGACAAGGGACTTGGTGTAACTCAAACACCTATTAACTTGGTTTGTGTGGCTTATAATTTATAATCAGTAGTTTAAATACAAATCCGGTAAACATCCATTACAAACAAATAGTTTTTATGAATATTTGTCAAAAATGCTAACAGGTTATTTTTTACGTAAGTTCAAAAATGGAAACCCAAAAAAGTATTGAAAACACGGAAGAAAATTGAAATTGAAATACATATTATTGAACCTACAAAAGACGTACTCAAAACGCACCCCTCCCCCTTCTTACAGCCCGGCCCACCATTTAGTAACAATTATAATAGAGTCACTCATTTATGCCATTTTAGGTTGATGTCACACGTGGTATGTATAGTAAATGCGAGTTTCCCAAAACTGCAAGGATGGGAGAACAAATTGGTATTCTATTATGGTTGAGTAGTTTTTCAGATATTGCTACAGAGGTAAGTTACTTTCATAACTACACGTAAGGAGATGTTCTATACCTTGGTTCAAAAGACGCCATACATGTAGTTCATAGTAGAACTCATTTCTTCTAATATTCCTTACATGTTTTCTTTATCTAGATGTAGAATATATTGCATATTGTTTACTTACAATAGAATGCAGCGTGTTTATGAAATTTTGAACCGCCATTTTCTTTATGTCAGTCATGTGGAAAACAAAGTATTTCGACCAATCAGCGATAAAGATATGTCCCTTACAGAGAGCAAAAAATAGAAGCTCATCTGTTGTTTAGAATATACAGAATATGTATATACATATACTTCTTATTTAGGTTTTGGTTACTTTACCTTCTTCTGAAGATTACAAGTTTGTGTCTGTTGGAAATGGTCTTCCAAATAACTATTCGCCAGATTTGATTGATAAAGATGTCCAGACGCTTGTATATGTAAGTACAAAATAGTATAGTAAAATAGTACTAAGAATAAAACAATTTAAATATTTTAATAAAATGGTAAACTTGTTGAACTAATTTCCGTTTATCTAGTTACAGTAATTTCTCATGATCATATTAAAAATTAATAACAGACAATAAAAGGTACTAATATATTGTGTCATTTTAATATTCCTGGCTCAAGCTCCCACCGGGTGAACGGCGTTTTGTGCATATCCCAATACTTCCACGAAAAATTGGTGTTACCAGATTCAGCATTGACGCACAGGATTTTGGCAATGGAGAGGGATGTTCTGGAGAAATTAAAATTTCTGTAAGCATTTCATTTATTTATTTTTTATTTATTAAAATATAAACATATTTACATAATAATGATAAAGACATCCCATGCAGGGGGTGTATGACTTATCAAAAGCTCAAATATTTTATAATTGTATATTATTAAGTTGTAATTCTTATGGGAAATTGTTTTAATTTCATGTTATAGTTAAAGTATTTGGATGAGCTTTTCAACCCATACTTTTTTATTCAAACATTCCATGTAACTTTATTACAAAAATTCAAATATGCATTTTTTGTAATACTTATGATTATGGTAGCTTGTTATTTGTTGCTTCTAGATGGATGGTGTTACAAACACATGGCATACTCCATACTTTGTGGATCTTGTTAAATTTAGTGAGATTATTATCCCAGATTTATGGATACCAGTACCGGAGAGGTTTGTTTTGCCCGAGCAAAGGCATCATTTGTATGTGCCTGGGTCGGTATCCACAAAGGTTTCCGTTGTGGGTGAGTCCAAAACTATTCTTATATCAAGTAGAGTACAACACTACAAAAGCTACTCTCCCTTCATAAATACTATGGAGATATATCTTGCCATATATCTCCATTTGATAACGTTTTTCGTGACTATTTGAATTTTTAGCGTATCACAAATTTTACAATGCAGATCTTAAAATGTTTAAAACAAGCTTTTCAACTAAGAGACATGGTATGACCATTTTGGGGGTGATATCATAGCGATTACAGGAACATGCAGGGATTTCAATAATCAATATGTATTATATAAGAATCAACAGTCCTTTCTGGATATGAGTATTTTCCTCAATTAAACTAGGTTTTCTATGCAGTTTATTGTTCAACATTTTTACAAAAAAATATGTACTTCATATCAAACTTTAACAGGTTTTAACTAAATCATATGTACACAATAATTAATAGATGCATATAAAGAAGACTAAAATTGTTTTAAAAAGTTAATAAAACCTTCAATTTCGCAGGTGATGTTGTTGGGCCTGCATTTTATGGAAACAACCTTGAAGCAACCAATCTACTAGACATTCCCAGTGGAACACTAGAGTCACACTTCTTCGAATTTTCACAGAATCTCTGGTATATGAAATATTTGAAATCTACAGATCAATTGACCAGGGAAATACAAACAAAAGCTCTAAATACTATGAATTCAGGTACATACTTTTACGCTTTGATTATGTCGTGGTCTTTTATCAAGCCCTTGTGTATGGTTGTGTCGCCCTCCCTAATCAAGCTCTATTAATTTTGGTATGATCAAGTAAACAATTTAAAAGATAAACGATTCGTATTCAGATTAAGTATAAAGACATAATGGAATTTTTAAGGATATTTGTGTAATCAAAAAAATTGTTCTAATCAACTAATCATGATATATCGAGTCATAAATGGAGCTGAATGGAGAAACATTGGAGTAAATCGACAAGATTCAAGTGTGTGTAAAATAGATTTGTTGAGACAGTTTTGTCATGTCCCCACCACATAGTGTGGGGCCATATTGTCGGCCTAGGCGCGTCCGTCCGTCTGTCTGTCCGTCTGTCTGTCTGTCCGTCCGTCCGTCCGCTCTCCCACAGAGTCCTTAGTGCTGTGCGCCATGCGTTCAGATATACCCTTCTGGGGTTTTTACCTACTTCTGTGGTTCAACCCAGAAGTTGGTCAGTTTTCATAACCAGTGCACCTCACATTCATAAAGAACAATCGCACCCCGTATCAATTTTGATATGCTTAACATTGTCCATTATAACTTGGACAGATTTGGCACTGTGGACTGTACTAGAATGTGCAACCCGCTAATCTAATTGCACAGCACGTCAAGGAAAAAAATGCACAAAGGACTCTGCGGGAGTACGTCCGTTCGTCCGTCCGTCCGCAGTTTTCTCCAAAACCGCTACAGATATCACCTTCAAATTTTCAGGGATAACTTATGAGTGCATACAGATATGTGGATGAAAAAAATTAACTCGATACCTACTTCCTGTCGGCCATTTTGAAGTCATATGCTAAAATCCTTGTCTGCAAACTTTAAGAAAAACGGCTTCACAGTTGCTTTTAACACTTTAATATCTTGTTCAGCTCACTTCATTCTACATCTGATTAGGTTTTGGACCTGTTAGCTCAGTCATGTCAACCATTTTGAATGTCTTAAGAAAAGTTAGCGCGCGATAATACTTTGTATCATATTGAATGGTGTTTTTATGTTTTCATACTTTAACTATTTAGTAGCTTTATAAATCATTTCAGGTTTACTTTGTTGTAAAGGCCTATATTATTGTTAACAGTAGCTATATGTGATAATTTTGTAAAAGGAAATCAGCAAAAACTCATCAGCACTTATTTTATTGTCGGCCATTTTGGATTTTTCCGTCCTAAAATCTTGTCTGTAAAGTCTTGTCTACGCGTTTTCAGGTAGATCAATTTCAAATTTTCAGGGATGATTCTTAGTATGAAAATCTAGATCTGATTAGTTTCTTGGCGTTCTGGGTAAATGTCAAGGCAGCCACTTTGGATTTTCCGTCCTAAAATCTTGTCTGTAAAGTCTTGTCTACGCATTCCAGGTGAACGGTTTGGTTGATCAATTTCACATTTCCAGGGATGATTCTTAGTATGAAAATCTAGATCTGATTAGTTTTTTGGCATTCTGGATAAATGTCAAGGCAGCCATTTTGGATTTTCCGTCTTAAAATCTTGCCTGTAAAGTCTTGTCTACACGTTTTTAGGTGAACCGTTTGGTAGATCAATTTCGAATTTTCAGGGATGATTCTTAGTATGAAAATCTAAATTTGATTAGTTTTTTGGCATTCGGCGTAAATGTCAAGGCAGCCATTTTTTGGATTTTCTGTCCCAAAATCTTGTCTGTAAAGTCTTGTGTACGCGCTTTCAGGTGAACCGTTTGGTAGATCAATTTCAAATTTTCAGGGATGATTCTTAGAATGAAAATATAGAACTGATTAGTTTTTTGACATTCTGGGTAAATGTCAAGGCAGCCATTTTGGATTTTCCATCCTAAAATCTTGTCTGTAAAGTCTTGTTTACATGTTTACATGTTTTCTGGTTAACTGTTTGACGGATCAATTTCAAATTTTCAGGGGTGGTTAATAGTATGAAAATCTAGAACTAACAAATTTTTGGGCATTCTGGGTAAATTTTAAGGTGGCCATTTTGGATTTTCTGTCCTCAAATTGTGTCGGTAAAGTCTTGTCTACTCATTTTCAAGATAACCATTTGACGGGATCACCCATTGGTGGGGACATTTTGTACACATTTGTGTTCTTGTATTCAACATTTGTTCTGGTGTGTGCTGCAGAGATTCAAGATTAATTAACTACAATCTTTGATTTGCAGTCATACCGAGAATCCTGTTTCACAAGAATAAGGAAGGTGGTTTCCAGCAAGTCGTGACCCACCCGTCAAGTTTGTGGTAAGTTTAAATTTTACTTTTACTTCACTTCATATTTAATAAATGTTAATTCAAACCTTCACTTTTGTCTCAAAGTCGCACTACACCAACCTATGTTTAAATGTAAACAGAAAGTGTACAGGACCGAACATTCATGAGAATGGCCAAGGTCACCGTCAGAAAACAATGTGTTTTAGGGTTACCGCATATCTACTTAACCAAATGAAACAGGCCAGGGACACAGAATGGGAGCATCAATTCTATATCGCACCAGAGTTCATGAACGAAATGGCACTGTGGATCGTCTCGAGACAGAATAAAAGTGTGGGAAGCTTCATGGAGCTAGCACCCGCATACATGAGGACAATGGTACCCAAGCTTCAGACTCTAAATGGGAAGGAAGACTACTGGAATATCACGCTTACCGCCCATGTTGTGATTGCTTTATCGGGAAATCTGGGTCTAACTGGAGTAAGGAGATTAAATATATGTGTATTGATTCAAACATTCAAGTCAATCATCATGGCTCTACATCTTAGATAGTGTTAAAATTAGACATTACTTTCTCACTTTTTTCAATTTAGGAAGCATCTAGCGCAGCTGAAAAGGCCAAGAATAAAGGGGCAGATTTTTTAGCGATGACACTTGATATTCTAGATGAACCATTTGACCTGGCTATCGTCACTTATGCTTTGCATGCAGCTGAACACAGAATGAAGGGAGAATTCTTCGCAAAATTAAAAAAAGCTCATCGAAATGGTAAAAATGTTAAATGCAGTATCAGATCTCAGATACAATATTTCCCAAAAGATAATTGCGAAAATAGAGGGGGGGGGGAGTTGTTTAAAAAACGGTAACCATAAACAGATAATAGTACATTTTTGTTAAAATCTTTTGTTTGCCTGGAATGCACTTTGGTGATTTTTAGAAAATCGACGATATTTTGTTTAGCTTGCTAGATCTGATTCTCTTTTAAACAAGGTAAATTTGATACTATATATGGGTCCAACGACAAGATACTACACGCTTATTTAGTTATTCTGTACGTGATTCTATGTACAAATACACAAAAAATCTCCAAGACAATACATATGTCGATACATCAGGCAAAGGCCATATCATTGGGGCTAACAGTCAAATGACACATAACTCAATGAGTTAAAAAGGCAACCGGTTACAACTTGTGGATAATTTGGGAATATATATTCATGAGAGGACTGTTATGTAAAAACGGATCAAGCTAAAAAGCAAATTTTGGGACGTTAAAATGTGTGATCAATTTTACGATTGGCATATAGAGTTTAAACTTATTTGAGTTATATTTGGAAATTGTGACTACGTAACTAGTGCTCGAAAATACACAACTGAATCGCATCTCCTTTCAGGCATATTTATAACCTGAAAGAACTATTGTGATATTTCAGATTTAAAGGACCAATGGCCATATTGGTCACCAAAAGATATTGACTCCATACATGTAGAGACGATAGATGTCACTCCATTCATGTATCCAAACGAACCATCTGAAATTGGTGGAGAAGCAGTTATGGCTACATCATATGCTTTGATGTGCTACGTGCTGCAGAACTATTTGGACGATGCCTCAAAAATCATGTACTGGTTACAAAGCAGGAGACGAGGAAAAGGCGTATGGACGGGAACAATGGTAGGTCCAATATTGAAATAATAAAATGATATGTAGACAGTGCCAAACGTGTTGAGACCAACACATATCAAAAACATAGTTAAAAATGAATATCCAAGAGTATTCGAGACAATTGGCATCAATGAACGTTTGAGATGTATGTGAATTTCAGGATACGACAATTGCAATAGAGGCTCTTTCTATGTATGGGCTGAGAAATCCAAACCGTGACTTGTACTACATGGAGCTGACAATAGAGGCGACATCAACTCCTGAATGGAGAAGGGTCATCACACTGAACAAAGACAATTTCAATGTAGAGCAAGAAGTTGAGGTATAGCATATACACGACGGCGTCTTTTTAGATAATAAATTCGGAGATACAGTTTTTATTCACAATCGCAGAGTATAACATTGGAGCTAATATGTAATTATAATCTGCTATGTTATTGTTATGGTTGAAGATATTCTTTCTTTTCCAAATATTGTTTTCGCAACTAAGCTTTTGAATTTCAGATGTCAGTAAAATTAGAATCACTTCTAGAAGAACAACAAGCAAGATATCACTATAAATTCTTCAATCATTCCATAATGTTGGAAAGTACACGGAGTATTACTTTGACCATTAAGATCAATTCCAATGTTTAATTGTTTTTTTTTCTTACAAAGGTCCCCAAATCATGGGGAAGTGTCAGAGTGACTGCAAGAGGAAATGGCTTAGCACTCTTACAGGTAATTCATTTTTATGTTTTTGCAAGATTGGGAATAATTATACACTATTGCATCAATTGATATTGGTTTTACAGATTTTATCATTATTTGAAATAAAAGTTCTACGGTTATGTAAATTCTGCCTACTATTAAGACCCGGGCTGTTAGATAAATAAAATGTATGTAAAACTTTTATTATCTCAAAGTGGTATCAATGAAGCAATGAACTACGTTTTCAGGTAACAACGAAAGCAAACGTTGAATTCATGGACCAGCTTCGGGCCCCTGGTAAACCCCCTACCGGTATAAAGAGACACTTCGACCTGGTGATGAATCTAGGCTGGGGAGGTGCAAACCATAGCATCATGTACATAGAGCCGTGTGCTAGGTTAGACTGTTTTTGAGATTGCTATAAAATTTCAAAAATTTTGAATCGTCCGTCGGTCCACTTTATTTCAGTTAGCGAGTTGATTAATAAATATTTTTCGACCAATCATGATGAGATTTTCCCCTCATTTCAAAAAATAACGTAAATGACCACATCTTTATTACCTGCCTTGGAAATGATACGGATCAATAAAAAAAGATCCCATCGTTATTGACAAGGTTATTTCAAAAATGGGACAACATTTTTTGGGTCATTAGTTAACATGATTGTTATCTTTAAACCCAGATGGAGACGGACTGACTTGGGCCCCTATAGTATGACAGCGTTCTTCAGGATAGAGATACCCACTGGCTACGTCATAATAAAGAGCGAACTGAGGGCTCAAATGAGGGAATACAAAGAGATTATACGTAACAGAGTTTTTGGAAATTACCTCAATATCTACGTAGAAAAGGTAAATTGTCAAAAGAGGATATCCTTTCCTTAGAAAATGACGTACCCTATTCATAATGAATATTTTTCAGCACAAAGTAGTAGTTTGAAGTGGTTAAAAGTATAGCTTTCCGATGATATATTTTCAGATTGGAACTGACTGGTTATGTACCAAGATTCGTGCTGATCGTTGGTACCCTGTTGCAAATGCAAGTATACAACATTCTGCAATGGTGGCAGAGTATTACCAGCCAGGTATTAAATCATGTATTATTAACATGCTGATGGCACGTATTGAATTATGTATTACTAACATGTTAATTTCATCAAAATGAAAAACATGTAGTTTACTTTTTCATTTTGGTCATTCGTTGATATATGCTTATGGTTATAGTTAAGGTTATAGTAACACCACTCAATATTATTCATTATTATATCACTATCTAGCTAGCGACAGTATGATTAGTCAAAACCGGTGTAAAAGAAATTATGGTCCCATGGGGATTTAGGTCTGTAAGACCATCTACTAAATTTGCCTTTTCATTTCTTGCTCGATTTTTTTATTAATTCTTTCATTTAAGTGTCAAAGTCAAAAGTTGTATTCTGGTCGTGTGTTTTCACTTATTTGTTATGGATTAAGTAACCTACTAAATGAATCTTTTTAGGGAATTACTATGCTAGCTAGTTGTATGCTACATTTTGAATAGATGTCATGCTGTTCATCGCACAAAAACCCCACACAGCTCATGGTCATCGCACCAAAACACCACACAGCTCATGGTCATCGCACAAAAACCACACTGCTCATGGTCATCGCACAAAAAACCCACACAGCTCATGGTCATCGCACAAAACCCCACACAGCTCATGGTCATCGCACAAAAACACCACACAGCTCATGGTCATCGCACAAAAACACCACACAGCTCATGGTCATCGCACAAAAACCACACACAGCTCATGGTTATCGCACAAAAACACCACACAGCTCATGGTCATCGCACAAAAACACCACACAGCTCATTGTTATCACACAAAAACTTCACACAACTTGTGGCAATGACATGTATACGCATAACAGAATAAAAAAAATAGTTGGCAAGATATACATCTTCAATCGTTTTCTATTCAATAGATATTAAATAATATAACCCGTTTCCAAAGTGAACATTATTCCCTTGAAAAAGCCGTAGGACCAATTTCTCCAGGAATTTAGGTCCAGGACCAATATCCCTAGAGATAATGGTCCAGGACCAATAACCCTAGGGATTTTGGTCCGATTGGGACCACCTACTCTAGCAGGTGGGACTGTATTCCCCAGGAGATTAGGGATGTTTGTACTAGGGATAATGGTCCGTAGGACCATATTTAGGTAGGACCAGAAATACTTTTACACTGGGTCACATGTCGTGGGATATCTGGCGATATTCAATGGAAATGCTAATCAGATAAGACAACCGTGAGATATCTAGCGATATCCCACGCTCCCGGGAATTTTCAAAGAATTTGTTTTCGTTCAGTGTAAATAATTTAGTTCAGTATAAGTCAAAATGGCAGACGAACCGTGTAGATTCAATGTATTTCAATGTTAACCTATGACTTAATAATATTAGGGATGTTTAGGTAGACAGTGATATAATAAAACAAATATTTCATCTATATATAATACATCTTTCACAAGTGATATTCCACGAAGCCCGAAGGGCAAGTGGAATATCACCTTGTGAAAGTGCTACAGGTATTCACCGAAAATAGAGTGAAATATTTGTTCAATATTAGTCATTCAATATTATGGTATTAAACGGGAATTGAATATTAGTTTCATATCTCGGTCTATATGATATTTTCATCGGCATTTTTTGTCCATGGGGAAATGTTGTATTTGCCCCGGTTCAAAAACCCATTTGGAATCACACCAAGTAAATGACCTTAAATATTTTATGACAAAATCATGTAATAATTTCGTAAAACGTTTTTTTTTCAGATATACAAAATCGCACCCTATATACGACCTACAATTTGTTTACCCAACATATATGTATGGTTTGTGGCTCTTTCCAATGTCCCTACTGTCCGTTCTACAACTCGGCTGATACCATTACGTCACAGTTCACAACGCTAATATACTCACTTGGACTGCTTTCATGTTTTTACCGTTTATCAAGTAGTTATATGTATAATGGCTGAAATGATTTGATTTTATCACAAAGATTTTTTCAAGGACATGTAAACGAACAATGTTGTTTCAAAGATGTCGTGAGTGCATAGAGTTCAGGTTTTCGTTCACCTGTTTTTTATTTGAGAGATCTCGCAACTCGCATGTTTACTATCCTCGCATAAAGTATAAACTTATGAAGCGGTTGACCACGTCATTATTTATTGCACAGCTCTATACGTCCATAAGTGTGATATTTTTACGTATAGACGACTAATTAAAAGAATATCACACTAATGATGAAAAATGATGACGTAATCAAAGGCTTCATAAGTTATGCGTCATACGGGACTAATAGACATACTATAAATGAGTTGAGTTGAAATCTTTCTTATGTGTCATGATGTATTTAAAGGAGAATTTGTTGTTGTTGTTGTGTTGTTTTTAGCTCACATGGTGAGCTTATGCAATCACTCATTTGTCCGTCTGTCTGTCCGTGCGTGCGTGCGTGCGTCCGTCCGTCAACAACAGTGCAACAGTGGCACGTTTTAAAACCTCTGTCGATAGGATTCCTGTTTTAAGTTATTTCTGTTCAACATCAATACAGAAAACTCCCCTATGACTCCTAGTTCAAAAGCTCGCCTATTTTCAAAATGGCCGCCATTTTTGTCTCGCGAAATTCACCTGTCCTGCATTGTAAATATCCATGTCAATGTAAAGAGTAGTTGTATGAAATAATTTTGTTACAAAAAATCGGCAAAAAATTATATCCATTTTTTTTTTATTTTCAGCCATTTTAGTTAACATTGATTTGTCCATCTGTTTTGCGAAATCCACTTTTGGACCATTTACCTTAAAACCTCTGTCGATAGGATTCCAGTTTTAAGTTATTTTTGTTCAACATCAATACAAAAAACTCCCCTAGGACTCCTGGTTCAAAAGCTTGCCTATTTTCAAAATGGTCGCCATTTTTGTCTCGCGAAATTCAATTTTGGCCCATTTCCTAGCTTTACAAATAAGTTTAGGTGTCCTGCATTGCAAAAAGCCATGTCACTGTAAAGCGTAGTTGTATGAAATAATTTTGTTATAATTGGCAAAAAAATATATCAGTTTTTTTTATTTTCAGCAATTTTACTTAACATCGATTTGTCCAAGTGGCTTGAAATGATTTTGTTACAAAAAAATTATATCCGTTTTTTTATTTTCTGTCATTTTAGCCATCATTCACTTTTGAGCAACACCATGTGAGCCCAGTACCCACGGTACTATTTTTTAAATGTACCAACATATCATTTGTGAATATCAAAGGAGAACATACAATACTTTGCTTCAATAAAATCTTAATTTCATTTATGTATTGTTCAATACTTGAATCAACGAAAATGTAAAAGTATGGTTTTATTCATTTTTCATTAGAGGAATGATGAAATTGTGTGAAATTGTGACATTCATCAAAATGTCAGGCTCCCAGCTCATCTCTATTTTTATAAGTTTCTGAAAACGTTTAATCATCATTATCACTGGATTTGAACAATTAAAAATGAAAAGCTGAAGGAATACAGAAAAATATCAATTCGGTTTGACATAAGAAGTACATACAGCTACCTCGTAGTTCACAATGAATTTTAGTTCAAAATACCTTGAAATATTCTGAAGAAAATCTTTGAGCTCTCAACTAACATGTTAGCATATGTACAGGACCCAAAAAGCTGCTTGTTCAAAATGAAACATTTGAGGAAATCATATATTTTATTATTTTATTTATTTTGAATGTGAAATATAATACCATGCCATTATAGGGGAGGGGTATAAGTCCTTGAATGTACGTCCGATTCGAACAAATATTTCATTACATGGTGTAGAGCAGTCAACGCTCGCGATTGTGCGACTGAAAGAGGGAAATAAATGTACCATTCCTGGAAAAAGGAAGAAAAAGAAACAAAGCGAAGTGAAATGAACAGACTAGTTCAAACAGAAAGAAATGAAATTCGTTCCATTGCCAGATTTGTGCACTTTTTCGAAGTGACTTTTTGGCGAAAATACAGGGGCACAAAATCTTCTGACCTATTCTCGGCATCTCTTATCTACATTCAGAAAGCGGTCATTTAAACAATAATTACTAATTATAAAATATGTCATTTCTAGATTACATTGGAATAATGGACATTGGAAAGACTTGATTTTATCGAGATTCATCTTCAACTTATTAGAAATACAAATGGTTAATTTTGCGCGTCTTGCTTCATTGGTTATGCATGGTGCACGTGATGCATAACCTTGTTTTACCTCGGACATACAATGTGTTACATCAAACACAAAGGCCTACAGCCTTGGAGTGTCGTAACACTACAATGGCGAGTGATTAATTAGTCATACACACAATTATCTTGTCAGAGAATTTGAGGCAAAATGAACAGATTTGCTGAAATTGAATCGGACTGGATTAGTAATAAACAGCTTGGTGTTATGGTAGCGCAATTGATTTCTTCGGGGTCGTCCTCAATGGAATATTGAGTGATGAGCAATTGCTCGCTTGTTAGCCCAAATAGGACCAAGTGTGTCATGCATGGTTGGAGATAATTGGGCAGCGCCTTTGAGATTTATGTTAAACAATTACTAAACTGTTAAATGAAAAGCGGCCTACTAAATGGCAGCCAAGGGAATACTTTATCGCATTTTGCACATTGGCGCATCTTCGACACATTGATTACTTCATGCACATTTATTTCAATTATCGGCCCAATTATTTAGCGTTAAACTCACTGAGGTGAAAAATACAAAGTTGATAGGGCTTAGGGGACCGGACTAAACTCAGAGCAACCCATTTGGGTTAAACAGATAAACTCAATTACGAAAATACATTTATTTTGTCAGTTTGAAATAGTTGGATATCCATTTAAAACTACATTGTGTTCTGAAACGGTTTGCTGTTTCAATTGACCCTTAAAACGCAATAATCGTTTTATTTCACATTTGTATTTGGGTTAAACTAAATCGGAACTCTAGTTTCTGCAACTACTCACACATTTATCTAACATTGAAGAAAGATGGCGCCATTCAACAGTTCCTGAACTGAGTCTATTTCGTTCAGTACAACTAACACATAAAATCACAAGCATCGTGAAAGTCAATACGATTTAATTATAGGAATTTCACACTGTATTTTCGGACAATCAATTGATGCACAAAAGTGAAAACAAGTTGATTGATATAGCCGTGTAATATGATAGGGTTGAGAGAGAGAAATAAAGCGTTAGATACACCAAACACCACGGGGGCTCACAATTTCATCATTGAAATTTAAAAGCAATGTTTTAATTTTCCACACTGGTGACATTGTTTTGAAATGATAGGGTAATTACTTTCACGCGTCTACAAATTCTTTTCAAAATTTCGAAAATTTTACAAAAATGGTTTAACACAGTCACTTCTGGCGCCTCGGTGGCACCGGTCTTTTCAGACGCACCCGCCGTAAAATTGTTAAAAGCGAAAATAATAAATTAACTAAAAAATGAAAGTCAAAATAGTCACTATTACTTTTATATACCTTTCTATTTATTGAATTGTACAATCATAAAAAATAATTGTAATGATTAAGTGTGTTAAAAATGTAGTGTTAAAATACTAATACTAAATGTATTTATCCGGGTGAACACGAACTCAAAATAAGATGTAGAACATGAACAAAATGTTTCATCCCTAATTTTGTTTCTTACGAGTCACAACATCTGCTAGTATGGCATGCTTACTGTAATAATAGTTTGTTTACTTTGCAACCGAGACTAATTGATATATCTTGGAGTAAAGGCTCCCTTCTTCCTTTTGCTGTTTCTGCCTTTGCCAGTCAAAATTCGACTGAACAGTTGAGCTTAAACAGGTATGTCGCATGAGAAAATGTAAGAAACTCATTAGGCCTAGTTTTTCAGGTATGAAACTCTAGTTCCTCGGAAAAGGATTTTATAAAATTTTGGAATTTCAAAATTTCTCGGTATTAATAATGCCCGAGTAGATGGATTTCAAATCACATTAAATGCAGTAATCCACGTTCATTATAGCTTAATAAAAAGTCAATCATTGATTATCCAGAATTGGGGAGGCATATGGGTTGAAGTTTCGAGGATTTTCAGTCGCCATTTAATTTAATTAAAGTTTACTGAAAGTGGAACAGTGAATAAGTTGTAGACACCCTATTTACTGCAATCACTGCGTTCTACTTCACCAACTTGTAAATAATACAAAGGGTGAAACATTTAATTTCTTGTTTGGGGAGCCAAGTCACATCTTCTTCAAATTAATGAATATAAGGTACTTTGAAATCATATCAAATACCTTCGTTAAACTTTCAATTGAATACGAAGACCGACTTTTCGAAAAAGGTCGAATGTTGGTAGAGAAGTATTGCATATCGATCAGTCCAAATTTGTGATTAAACATTCCCGATTGACGATTCTAGTGTTGTTGTTTTTTGTGATGAATTTGTTGCGCATGTTCTACGATGAAGGCTCAACACGAGACTGAGTTTTGGCTAGCAATAGGCCGGTTGGTGCCAGTAGCAATTGCTGTCTTATATTAGTTACTAAGTGGCATAATTCTTGTGTATAGGTTCATGTAAACCGAATATGCTGCAGTTTAATTCGATCAATTCAATCGTGAGAACGTTTTTCTATCTGGTGAGAAAGCACAAGAGGCAATACACCAAAAAACCGAACAGAATTACATCAAATTTCATTTTAAATCGTATTCATTCGTATCAAAAGTGTATTGATAAATATATTTATTCTCAACATGGTCAGTAGAAAGCATTTTATTTAACTCTACAGATAGATTTGCATTTATTTACTATATATTACATTTTGAGGTATCAAAAGACCACCTTTGTATGCGCTGGGCCTCGAAGAATGAAAAAGAAAACAAAAGATGAAAAAAGAATTTAATTTGCAATGACAAAACCTAATTAATGAAAGGTAATGTAAAACATGTATATGGGTATAGGAATGGATAACCCGTTTCTAAATTGATTTCTTAAGTTTCTGAACATCGTGTATAGTCCCATCCTCAGCATCGATTCATCCAATTTAGCTACGGTAGGTCGTTTTACCTGGAATATTAATCAAATCAAAAGTGAAAACATCTTATTTTATTGCCAAATCATTGCCATCTCTTGCTGTTCATAGGCTTTCATCTTCGAGCTGATCAGCTAGAAATTAAGAGATATTCAAGTGAAATCGTTAGATTAATTAAATTACTGCAAATCTCCAGCAAAAGATAGGCTAAATGTTTCCAAAAGGTCAACGTTGGATCTTTCATTAGGCAATTTAATACTTAGTGATTGGCGAGTCCCCGTGAAGATATCATATAATCTCCGTAATAGTTTTTGATCGAGTTATTTTAATTGGAAAGAAATTATTTCAAGATGATCGACTGCAGCAATTTGGTTGATATTCACAGAAATTCAGAAATATATCTCTGGTAATAGGAATGAAGATTTATGAGGTATATTCAGCAAGTTCTTGTAAACAGATTTCAAACATTCTGGGAATTGCATTTTCAGGAATAGGCCTATCATGATGGGCTCAGGGCGTTCGTGTATAGATGGCAGGTCGTTCTTGTTTGTCATCTCGTCAGACGACATTGACTTCCAAAAAAACAAACAAATTTAATATTTATATAAAATACACTCATTGAAAACTTCTTTTCCATAATAATAATAATTGTTTTCCATAATATGCTAGATCATTGTTTAAGGACGCCGGGGATTTGTTCTAATAAATTGGTTAACACAAAATGTTCCTTTTCTATCTGTGTTTTAATATGTTTTGGTCTCTACCTTTTAGCATGAGCTTTATATGTCAATTTTCAACAATTTTTCATTACAAAGTACAAAGTCTAAAAAAATTCAAGATTGGAATTACTACCCATGTAATGTTCAGTTCTTTGGGGATGACTATAGTGTTTTACTATTTAGTTTATTTGGCCCAATCTAACAGCTTATAGAGATACATTTGCAATTGAATGCATAGTTTATATTCACTCGATTTCAGAATAAAAACACAACTATACATTGTTGACACGTAGACTTGTAAACAGCATTTTATGTGATCCTTTAGACCTTGAAATAAAGATAAAGTATAATAGCGTTATTATTTTATCAAATAAAAGCAATAAAATATTTTATATATAGAAAGTGAAATGAGCAAACTGCTGGCGTGGTTAGCAAGCCATGTAAATATTGTTTAGAGTGGCGTGGTTTAATGTCGCCAAGTGGCTTCTTAGCTTCATTTACTCTAAAAAGAAATGCTTTAGATTTTAACAGACACACTCCCGTGTAAAACAAACTCCTTAACGGTAACATAATGACCATCAAATAAGTCACAAACTCATGTCGAGCCTTTAGAAAGTTGTTAAATAGAATTAACCGAGGGTAAAATAACACAAATCTTTAAAGTTTAGCCGAGGAGAAAAGTAGTGAAAGTCAAAATTATAATTACCAAACAAAGCGATGAAGTTAAATTAGTTAAATAGCTATCAGTGTGGAAGAGATGGGATATATGGCAATCTGGCCGGCTGGTCGGGCTCTCCTTGACAACCGCATTTGCATCGTACCAATCCAACCATTAATTGCGCAAAATATACTGAAGATAAACTCTAGGCACTTGAAATGATGAAGGCGCATTCAAATTCTGTTAAGAATCTCAAGTACTTTAGTATCGTTCCCATGGCACAGTACACGCGCCATGGTGAAATAAACTCAAAGAATTTGGCTTCTATAACAAAAAGGCGTTGTATCGCTAACCGAACATTAAATTTAACATATGCTTTATAAATACTTTATAGCTTTTTCATCATCATTGTTGACTAGCTTATTTAGCCATAATTTCGACTATGGTGAAAAAATGAAGACCCTATTTCAAATGAGTTTGGCATTTTGCAGGTAGGTTTCTACATCATATGCACTAGAGGAATAGTCGGAATGATTAAATATAAGCTTACGATTAGTCTTAAAACAAACACGATGAATTTCAAAAGTTCATGTAATGTATCTGATGTAACGTAGGCTCTTTGATATGATTCATAACGTTGACACATCAAATAATAATACAACTAAAAGTCAATTAATCCAATTAAATGCTTATATATATAAATAGAGTCAGCCTCGAATGTTCAAGTAAAATACAAAATAACAGGTAAGTGTCTGTATAGCTGTTGTCATACAAGGTCGTTTTAATCTAACAAAGGAGAAAAGTAGATACCCTTCACAATTCACGTTTTACAGGTAATGAAAGACAACAGGTGATAAAACGCTTTATACATCAATTAATTGTCAGCTAAATTATGATTGCACTTGAAAGAGTTTCGTTAATTAAATGATTTATAATGCAGCTTTATCCAAGGATGTTTTTCTATCTTATATTACACGGATCAGGGATTCGTTTTCTATAAAAATGTCATCTGATGGTATGAGAGATATAGAACTGTTGTAATATTTGAGATTTATATATGTATATGGTCAAACTCAATATGTCACCTGCTTGGTTTTATAGTTGGCCTCGCCGATCCCTTTACTGTAGAAACTACAATATGAACTATACTATCGAACCAAAAAGATACCTTGAAAACAGCAGTAAGGCTAAACTGGTCAGGTCCGTAGTCAGGAAGGGAGGTGGCCGAGCACTTTTCAAGTGACTTTGGGCCAAAGTTGTCAAATGTGGTCCAGGAATGTTTTGAAAAGCGAACCCCCGTGGCAAAAGTCTGCAGGCCTGCTGGTATATTTGGTACAGTTTTGAAAAGTGAACCCCCGTGGCAAAAGCCTGCAGGCCTGCTGGTATATTTGGTACAGTTTTGAAAAGTGAACCCCCGTGGCCTGCTGGTATATTTGGTACAGGAGTCCCATGTGCCCCAATAATGGTTTAATTTCGCATGTTTTAAATGAGAGATTCTTCTCGGTTTTTGCCACTTAGGGTACCTTATGGCACTTATATGAAAGGTAAACATTTACAAATGAAAATTGCTTTTAGAAATCTTTATTTATTTCCAACAAATAGAAGAAGAAATATATTTCTTCATATTATAATAAATAGAGTTGATGTCTTACTCGAAATTGACCTCCATTCACTAACATCTAACTGTCTAATTGGTGTTCCCCTTTGGTTCCCTAGCTTAAACAACAAATTAAATATATTTTTAAAAATCCATCTCTCATATTACTTGTGAAGTCAAGTAAGAACATTTCCTAATTTACGAGGCATAAAGTAATGGCACAACTTATGAAATATGTACCAAAATTGCATTTTTTTTATAGATCAATAAAAGAAATTTTATAAAGCACTATATTCACTTAACTTCAAAGAAGTCCAAGTTTTATGTAATAAATCAGTACATTCGAAATTTCCCTAAACTATTGCACATACCATATTTAGCGGTTCACCTTTATGTTCGATTTGTTATATACAATTTTTTTGGCTCACATATTTCTGTCCTTCGTCTATCTATCTTAAACGGAGAGTGAGATCCAAGTGAGTGACAAAGTTACAAGCAACATGTACAGTTGACCTACCAATATTATATTCCTTGCCTTACAATCTCAAAAATATCCCAAAAGATACATATGATGTTATATAAATTGATGAAGTTATTAAGGATTCAAAGTGCCAAAATGGGAAAATTTGTTTAAATTCTCCCAAATAATAATAAAAATGGTAACCACAAAATAGAAAATGAATGTATTATTGTAAAAATACTTAGTTTCCCTCAAATACAGTATATAGTTTGGCTATATATTTTTTGGGAAACTATTGGCTGACAAGAAATGATACTTGCCCCAAAATATTCTAAAATTGAAACAATTTTTGTCACGAGTACTCATTACATTGGGCTCTTGCTAGATTTGATTCTGCCTTTAAAAATATGAAATTATTAAAATTAGTTGAACAAGCACTTTTCTTACACCACTTCAATCCTTTCTTTTTGGTGAATAATGTTTCATGGAAAAATAAAGATAATGGTTTCACTTTTGAAATGTTGTTTCCCTGGGTGAAGAATTCTCAAGATCCCATTCTACCATTATGGAATATCTTTCGCTTGTAACATTTGGTGATGAGATGTTATTAAAATACAGGGTGGGTCAAAAAACAATACCCAAGTTTAAAGATGAATGATTTATATGATATATGTTAAACCAGCCTCAGCCACCTGATGGCGAAACTGGTAACCACCAACTCGCATCTGAGTAATTGAAAAACGTTTGTTTTCCTGTGGAGTAAGAGGCTAAAATTGACACCAGGAGTGCCATGAGCGACCAAAAAAATGAAATTCCAAAATTTCCCTCCATATTGCAGTCACAGCTAAACTCAATATGCCTGACTGAATCATCATAAATTTGTTTAGGAGTTATACACAAATGATAATTAATTGAAAATATATAACTATTATTGCTGAACTTTGCACTCTTCTTGTATAAATGTACCTCTTTTGAAGGTGCCATAGTTAAAATTTCCCTCCTTTTTCACACCACCTCCATTCATTCAGACATTTGCAACAGTCATACTTTTAAGTTCAGGTACATGTTGTCATGTTGTGAGGAAATGATTTATCTTTAAAATGATATACAATACATGGCATGGTTCAACGTTATATCATATGATATTCATCCTTAAACTTGGGTATTGTTTTTTTGGCCCACCCCTGTATATATAGTATCCTGATCAACAAAAGTTTAACCGAGAGACGATATACAAAATATGCAAACTATGTTCCACTGTTTTATTCTAATGCCACGAATTGACAAAATTACTATATAAATATGCTGTACATATTATACATCCTTCCACCCCTATGCTACATATTCAAGTCACCGAGGCATGACTAAATTCTGAGGAACTGATGAAGGACTAGGTTGACTTGAAGGGGTGGAAGCATAGAGTCCATAGGGTGTCATTACTTGTTGTAGGGGCATTGAGCGTCCGAAATGTTGAGTATAGAATGCTGCAGCGGCCGCTGGAAATGTCACTCCGATGTGTGGGGGAAGCATAGGTTTTGCGACCATTTTTAATTTCTCAAGTTCTGCCTCGTGGAGGCGTTTGGCTTTAGCTCGACGATTCTGGAACCATATCTTTACCTGGAAAAAATGAGATTTATTTATATGAGATACCCATTTGAAAGTAATTATTAAAATACAATTTTACAGTAAACCTGTTCTTTGTGCGTTAGATAGCTACTAGTATTTTGGATGTTGGGGCGTTTACTTTCTTTTATAACTAATTATACTCCTAAAATGTACTTTAACTGTGTGTTTCACACTATTCTTGGAACTGTATCCTCAAAATACGTTGGGACGAAATACAGGGTGACACAAAAATGCCGACCACTTATAGTTTTGGAATAGCATTCTCAATAATGAAGGAATCTTCATGATTTTAATGGATAGATAGAGTGTTCAATGAAGAAAGATTTTTTTGTTTTGTTTACAACTTGGAAATTAAGGGATATCTCAATTTCGGCGGAGGCATGCTCTGATACAAAGTCACTCAAAAAGGTTTACCTAATAAACGAGTCAGTTGATCAAATTTGACATATTATTGAAGAAAAATGGGTATATATGACATATTATTGATAATTATGTGAAAGCAATCCAGAAATGACTCAAATAATGGCTAAGACAGAAATCCCAGTTTCAGAAAATCGTATTTTGTACATTTTTGACGCCTCGCCTAAAGCATTCCTTGATGGAAAACGTGATATATCTAAATCTCAAAGGCGTTGATGCTACATAAGTGAAACAGTCTTCTTCCATTGAACATGTTATCTACACACAAAAAATCACGAAGATTCCTTCATTATTGAGAAAGATATTACAAAATTAGTGGATGGCATTTTTTTGTGTTACCCTGTACTATTCACATATTTAGGATCTTTTCTTCATCTTAGGAATTACATACTATGACTAAAAAAACTAGTATAGCAAGAATTCACTTTAGAGACCCGTTTCATTCTTCAAGATCAGACATCACAGTCCCAGCTGATTGAATATTAAATTGAAATAGTCTTGGACCAAGGACACTGGTTGTGACAACAATGCATACCTGAGTCTCAGTAAGTTGCAAAGAAGCTGAAAATTCAGCACGTTCGGCTATGGACAGATATTGTTTGGACCTGAACTTTCTTTCCAATGCAAGTAATTGTGATGTGGTGAATGGAGTCCTTGGTTTACGGTTAGGTTTGTGTTTCCTCAACTGACATGTCTTGACGTTTATCCTCGACAGTGGAGGACTAGGTACTCCTGAAAATATACGACTTTGTTAGGTTCGACTTTCTGAAAGATATTTAAAGTATTAATAGCAACTAGAGGTCAGAAGAATTTTACCCCCTAATGAAGAATTAACAAAAAATACTAGGTTTTAAACAACTACTAAAACAATGGCAATTAATATAGTTTTCATACTGAGAAGTTTATGAACCCCCCCAATTCCAACAACACAATCACGGTTATTGTAAGATCTTGATAATATGCAATATGATGTGGGGGTGGAGGGGGGGGGGGGGCTGGGGTGTTTACAGAAAAGGCATCTACCCAACCAAGGTGTCATAACTTATCTACATTACTTATAATGATTATCTCACAAGGGATGATTACTGAATTAGATGGTCATAATTTATAACATCTCTCCAGCAGAGTTGCATACTTATATCTTGTGTTTGTAATTAACAAACATGTTGATAATATTTCTGCCACGTTTCTTAATTAGATATCTTTCTATTTCGGACATTTAATTTGCACTTTGGTTAAGCATGTTAAGGTATCCACCCCTCCTTTAAGTTTAAACCTGTTCATCACGTGTGATAAATTGATCATCACTTGCCAATATATTGATAGCTATGAAAATTGTCTTTCACCTAACACAGCCCATTAAAATTGTATTGTGTCAGAAGCTATTTATTTTACCCTACATTTTTGAACGAAATTCTAGAATTAATTAGCACTAGAAGGCTTTAATTTAAGTATGGTTAAGGTAGGAACTAAGCTAACATTCCTCAAGATATATGTTATACTTTATGTTTTGTTTGTTTTCTAAATCTTGCCTTGTGTGCTTTCGAATGAAAACAAGCGACTAGTTAAAAGTGTAGTTTGTAATGTATGGTATGATGCTAATAATTGGCTAATCCCTTTATCTAAACACCTACCTGTGTGGAATATTTATCTCATTAGCTAATTAAGGTAAAGATACCTTACTTACAAGCAGAGCCTGGTTCAAATTTAACAAATTATACCTTAATCTTGGTGTAAGCATAACCATAGGGACTAGACTTTCTGACTTCTGACGCTAATCATCTAAATTATGGGGAGATTATGGGCGCAATTATCGTTTCGTTTCTTAATTATTTAATTAGATGACAGACGTTTCATCCGGGTTACTATCTTGCAGGCGTGTGGCCCTTGTTACTATGGACACTGATCATATCGGATTAACATGGCTTTATCTTAATCCAAATAATCACATTATAATGATACAGGGATTATCCGCTTCATCTCATCTCAATCACATGTAATGATTGCTACACAAACTTAGTAAAATTGCTATGTTAAAATTTCCTGTCTGATGGATTTTTGGCTAAACATTGGCTAAAACAATCATTTATGAATTAGTAAAATGATGAAGCATCTCTGACGAGTTAAATGGAGTACAATTTTCGATACTAGAGCGCAAAGAGCAACTGAAACCTTAAAATCAGACTCATCATGAAAACCGACTAATTTATGAAATAAAGTAAACCGACATTAATTAGCCAAAGCACCTAGAAAATATTAAGGAGAGAATCAGATCTAGCGGGCAGGCAAACAATTTTTTTTCAATTTTCAAATATTTCTGGCTCGTGTCATTCCTTGTCATGTCTATTTTCTGAAAATACCCAAAGTGCACACTTTATTTCATGAAAACTAAAGATTTTAGTCTTGCTCAAAGACTGTATCCACCCCCCCCCGTCACCTTCACTCTCTTTACCTGGCAATATACAGAGAGAAGGATAAAGGGGGGGGGGGGGTACAGGGTCTTTTAAGCAAGACTATAAAGATTTGTACAATAATGTATTGTTTTTCTATAAGAATGGTCACCATTATTTGGGAGAATTTAAACATTTTCACTCATTTTTTGCACTTTGAATCCTTAAAAACGTCACCAATTTATAACATACCATGAATCTTTTGGAAAATATTGTATTTGAGATTGTAAGGAATAGATTGGTAGGTCAATTGTACATGTTGCTTGTAACTTTGTTACCGTCTAATTCATTACTAACTATGCCTTTAAGTTCTAACTTATAAGAAAAAATATTTACCATTTTGAATATTCATTTATGAACGGAAATGTAAAAACTCTAAATGTAAATCTATATGTAACAATTAATATGTACAAATGTAAATAATCTGTTAATGTGAATTGTCTGAGGAAATAAAGACACTGAACTGAACTAAACTGAACTGTAAGGAAAAATATTTACCATTTTGAATATTCATTTATGAACAAATTAAATATTAGTTAGCCATGAATACATTGCTGTTACTCAACAGGACAATATCCATACATACATTACGTGACATGATACTTAACATCCGGTAAGTGTGAGTTTGTTTATAACTACGGGAGCCGCAGAGATTACGGTGATAATAACTATCATATGACACATCACTCTTACAGTACAGCTCAAGTGGATTAGAATGATGAAAATGAAAGATAAAGATATAAACAACAGTGCGTGTGTCTTCATCAAAGAAATTGCATAATATGGCTCTGAAGATGATATAGACTTAAAGGATATCTGTTACGTAGCACAAACACTAGTCTTCATAAATTCAAGCCGGAAACTTCTTGAGCGCGCCCCTGTAGCAAGTCTTGTATGATAAACGTACAAGGAACAGAAAAGTAAATTTGACAATGTCATACGATTTTTGATTTTGGATAGGGTTTCAAAAGTCAAGATGATCCCAGTGAATTTAGTTTTTCAACACCATAGAAATACCTACTATAAACCGCAATCCCTCATCGCTTATAAGGTGGCACGAGACCGTGGCGAATACCCTATAAGCCATATGGCCATTTTATTGTGGCCCAATTTTGACCAACAGGTCTCCGGGGTCTATTATGGACATACACCTTTAAATTCGTTTCATTATACCTGGAAGCAGTTTAGGCAAACCATCTGCCGTTTGGAAATTTTTAACAATTTCCATCAATTGACAAATTAACCTTTCCAAGCCATTTTATTAAAAATAATTTGCTGATAAGAAACGAAAATGAATGGGTTCAGTTACAAGTTGTTTTGACAATGAATACAACAGCGAAATTGATAGTTGTCTTTGGTAATGACACACCATTTATTTTCAGGTAAAGATAATTTCCCTTGCATACTTTCAAAGTCTTTACAATGTAAAGAGGCGTAATATGGTATTACCAGAAATATATAAGCACAGTATGTATACAGAACAAAACACGAAACGGTAGATTTCGGCAAATGTATTTCAATTTCTTGGAAATATGGAGAAAACTGTACGACAAGTGTCACATTTGTAGTAGTCGTGGGGTTAATTGTAATGGGAAAACCATATACCTGACACCAAACTAATTAATCTGCATTCATAGATTACGCAATTTGAAATTTGTAAAATTAAATTTGAGATGCCCTTTTTCGAAACACCATATGTTTAGTGTAATATGACCTATGGTTGTTAAACTGTTAAAAAAGCAAATGACATACATTGAAACAATGACTCGTGAAATTGTTTTTAGTTTGGTTAATTTGAATTCTTTACTCTATTAATTCAGTGTTGTGCGCCGTGTTGCTGTAGAAATCAGGACGTCTGATTGTAATGCTAATTGTATTGCTACTTATGCAAATGAAGATTGAAATTACTAAAAACGTTTAACAAACAATTGCAATTTAGATGGAAATGTTTAGGAATTGATGAGTGTAAATGATTTGCCAAAATCGTAAAGAAATTTCCTATAGTCAAACTTTGTATTAGCAAAAACGAAGGATAGTTACTTTTACCAATTTAAAGATTGTTTAACATTCCATTCATTCTTAGAACAACTTTGCACCATTTTCTTGTGGACATAACAAGTGGATAAAAATAATACAAGTTTCATTATAGTAACCACAGATTTTTCTCTATATCTAGGTACCCTGCACACAGAGTCTAGTGATAAGTTAAAGACTAAGCTCTCTTTTAAGAAGCGAAGTCAAACGAATGCAAAGGGAATTATATAGGTATAGAGGATATCTAATCAAATGATATACGAGTGATACGATTTTTATCCGCGAATGGATATATCCATGTTTGTTAGTCACATGAAAACTTCAAAATATGATGTTTCCCCACTAATTTAAATAATGAAAATACAGTTTTTGTTTTGTCATGACAACCTATGGACATCAACTATGGGACAACTTTCAGTAAATTGGTTACTATGACTACTTACTATTGTTTCCTACTAATGCCGCTGCTGTCAACCAGCTCGGTACACCTAAACCACTGGGATGGTGCCCCCAATGTGATTCCATACCCCCGGGCAGAAACATAGGACCCACGTGCAGGGGACTTAACGGACTAGTCGGACTCGAAGTACAAATTGGACTTTTTGATCTGGGACTTAGGTTCTGACTGAGGTTTAAAAGTCCATCACTGTTATTATGGCTATTTTCTGAATCATTATCATCGCTGTCACTGTCACAATTGTCTGCTGTCCGAGCATTGTCTGCTGTGCGAACATTGTCTGTTGCGTTAGATGGTTTGATTCCAGCCATAATCGACTCCACGCTAAATGCAAGAGGTTTCTTTGGCAGTTTCTGAACGGTATTATTGTCCATTTTGACAGCAAGTGTGTCATTGTTGTTGTTAATATTGTCTAATTCAGTATCACATTTTGTTGTATCTCTGTCTTTAGTAGGGCTCATTTTCTTAAAAGCGGAATTCTCACTCGGCTCAATGCGAGTAGCTGTTAACATTTTTATAATGTTAGATCATTCGCACTTTATCAGTGTTTGTATTTTTAAATTGTCTTTCAGTAATATCCGTTATTTAGTTGATTGTAGCCAAATCGCACTTCGATCACTTTTGCTTAGATCAATTTCCTTCTGTAAGTGATACAGTGATGTTTGATATGTTAATACTCACAGTGTAACTGATACCGTAGCATTTTCTCGTATTTACTAATGAAGATATTTCTCCCCATCTTGCTGATGACGTCACAAATTTGCGTCACGCCGATTGGTCGAACTAGCTCTCTTTAATCAATTTGTTATGTCTTGGTTAAGAAACGGCGCCAATGGTAAAAATTAACCAATGCAGATCTTTGTTTTTGCAATGACTCCTGACTCTTATAATTACTTCAACAACTTAAATGATTGCAGACGATTGCTTCTGGCAGTTCTGTAACTACATGATAATCACCGTAGATAGCCAAAAACGACCACTCTAGCATTTCGTGCAGGGCTCCTTTATAACTACATACATGGCCCGGGGAATATGACCACGCACAACAAAGATTAGTCGGTAGATAATTTTGATGAACTTGGAATGTTAAAACAGCATTAACCTTTCAAAATTTCTTTTGACTTCTAACCTTTTGTGCTAGTTGAAATTGATCTAAATTACTTTTAGTATGTGTTATGCACTGTTTGATTGATGAAAGGTCTTTATTTGATAAGGGGCTTTGAGGTTTAAGGACCAGGGCGTATGATGCTGAATCGAAGTCTTGAGGCTGGACCAGACCTGGGACCAGGCGCCGTCTAGCAAAGTTCTATCCCCTTTTAGCAGACTCCAAACCAACACATACAAGCGACGTCTAAATTAATGGAAACGATTCCTGGTTTCGAATCCAATAAAAATACTCATCCATGAAATAATGGCCCCAATGTATGTACCGACAAGATAATGATTTTCAAATTCAAATCCTCAATTTCAAATTGCAATCAGCACAAAAAACAAACATAAACGTTAATCACCATTCAAATCTCTAACTTCCCATTATACTGTTATTAGGAATAATTTAAACAGACTAATCATGCTATTTAGTATATTTCGTTCAGAGCTATGTGTTTCCTATCGGACTTAATTATCTTTTACAAGACCAGGAAAAATTAACGTGGGAACAAATCAGAGCGAAAGTGATATCTTGCCCTAATGAGCCTAATAATCGCAGTGAAGCGTTCCAAATAGCGCTGTTATCTCTAAAAGACAAGTTCTTGATGCGCTTCTTGCACAATTACCTATTGCATTATAAGCTTACGCAAACCGCATCATAAAGTGATCAGTACTTCAAGACCAGTTTCCACACAACATTTTGCTGGAAGTTAGAATACATCTCACAAACGCTATATACACATGTAGTACTCATTTTGAATTTGATACGCATCGTGTCTCCTTTCAGCTATAACAGACAAACTATGATTGGAAAAGAATCAATTGTCACGATAAGTTTTAATGTTTTCATAGATCACGAGCTGAGTTTGACTCACGGACAAGATCGAATAAAAACCAATCTCGTATATACCAATACTAACTTTACCGATAAGTGTATTTTAATGGAATAATAGTTCTACATTAACCAACATATATTATTACAGTTTTTAATTCATTGGTCGCTTATATCACTGACTACCATGTTTTCAATATTTTGAGTGTCTATTTAACTTTGCCTACTGGTTATTTAGAACTAATACATTTTCATTTTGAAACTGTTAAACGTTATGAGATTTAAAAAACGCGAACACTTAAAACAAATTTTAGGAATAAAAAACTGTTAGATACGAAAGACGTTGCAGCAAAACCTTTTCACAATTATCGAAGGTAAAGCTAAATAACCTAAAGGTAAACTGACTTTTCACTTTTAAAGCTAGGCTGTGACTGCTAAGTTGTACCGTTAGGCCCTAGCCAGGCCTAGGCGTCTAGAGCGCATTTTTGTTCTTATATTGACTTTCACCAGTAGACAGAATAAAATCAAAAATTCAAATAATAAGAAACGGAATTAGTAGCTAGTTTACCCGCTACCCTTAGTTTTAATAGAGCTAGAAAACAGCAATTCCACGGAGTAGCAAATCCCACCGAACAAAATGTTTTGATGAAAAGCAGCCGGCACCGGCCATCTTGAAAAAATTTTCTTGAACAGAACTTATTTGACCCAAGGTATCAGCATATAAAATTTGGACCAAATCCGTCAACTGGTATTTGAGTAATCAAAGATTATATTTTTAACGAGAAATGGAAGCCATTTTGAAATTCAGCTGCCATCTTGAAAATCCCTTCTCAAGCTCCTTATAGTCTCTATGCATCAACATATAAAGAACTAAATACGTCAACGGGTATTTGGCTTATCAAAGATTACATTTTTAATGACAAATGGCGGCCATTTTGATAAAAAGTGGTCATTTTGAAAATTCCTTCCTGAGGAGAGCTCTTGAGTTCCTAGGCATCAGCATATAAAAAGCCAAATCCGTCCACGTTTGAGAATTGGAAGCCAGAGTTCCAACTCGATTTTCTTTAATCTCCAGCAAGAAATGCGATATTGCCGATCATTCCTGTATATTTCCCAAGCTGCAGGGAGAATTACGATATTCTCCAACAAAGCTGGCGTCATTATTGTCGATATTTACCTGGCTATAAATTCACAATCAGCATTCGAAATATTCAAACGATATCACCATCAATTAAGCCACTAATGATCTCAAACATTAAGGCATAAACCTATAAAATTTGAATCAAATCTGTTAATCGGTATTTGTGCTATCGCCCGGACAGACGGACGGCTTCTCTATATCCCCTTCGAACTTTGTTCGATGGGATAATTAGTTTTTGAAAAATCTGCCAAGAGTTGTTGAAGAAGTGGTCAAACCCCAACCTCACCTGTGTCTCTCACGCACCCTTACACAACCACGAAGATCGATACCTCAAACCGATCAAAGTAAGCCCTGTAGTTGTCAATCAATTGATATACAGATTTAAGATCAACGTGATCCCCTTACCACAAGAGGGACGTCCATAGCCTTTTGATTGAGTAAAACAATGGGCAGTGTACGGAATAAGTTCAAAGCCGTGATACGTATACCACACAACGGACGCCCTTAGCATCGTGATCATAAGATGAAGTAACACAATGGACAAACTACGGAATCACCAAGGAATAGCGATATCCATAGATCTCTCATGCAACCGTGTTATGGTGTCTTTGATCGATTCCCCTCGACGACCTGTTTATATTATCTCCCTAACACACACTGTAGCAAGGTTTAATTAATCGCATTACTAATAGATCAGATTACGAATTAATTTCACTTGTTTTAAAACATGCATGCATGGCTTGCATATTTTAGTACTTGAGTTAAAAATGGTTTGAGGTTATTTCGGTAACTTACTCTGTTTATCTGTCAAATTCGTTTTTACATTGTCAGCGCTCGTAGATCAACTTTAATTTGCTTTTAATTATCATAAGTAACAATTAAAATTATTCAATTCTGAACAGCTTTTGTTAATGCATCTTCAGGTTGCGCACAATCCAATTGTTATCCGACTTTTCTAAAACATTGTTTCAATACGCACCGTTAACATGTGTGCATTTAGTAGAAATGCGATCGTAATTACCACAAACGAGACATTAACTTTCAAATCCTTATTGTTTAATTTGAAAATTATTGTATTATCCTTGCCTGGATAAATATGTCCGTTTAATATATTACCATATTTTATCAATGAACATTAAAAGCATATTAAACCATAAAAACTGATTCATTCAAATGAAATCATCAGCTTCAAGATTCGTCAAGTACACGTATTTTAACGTAAAATGTTGTTTTTTATCCCCGAAGTGGATTTTATTCGCCAAACATTTGTAGGTGTGGTAGCATCTATTTGATCCCCAAGTGGATTTTAATTAAACATAATTTTAAAGAAGGAACATTAAAGAAACATTGGTTTCCTTTAATAACCATATACATTCAACCAAAGTATCTTATTTCATATGTATTGCCGACTAACCTATAATTTGTCGTTAGACTAAGTAATTACAGCCATTCGCTTTGATTCAGAAGCCACAAGTCTCAGTGTTGAAGGATGCATTATCTGTTTATTGGGACATGATGCTCATGATGTTTCAGAAGACTATACCAAACACGTACGGTGACTATTTTTTATCAATGCTGTATAGTTTCTTTGAGGCTGTCTTACATAGAGTCTCTCTTCCCTATTTTCAAGACAGAGAACGTGTGTTGTGTTTGAAAATGAGGAGAGGGTTCCCAAGAGAGGGCCGGGGGAGAGAGTGATGCGATCATGCGAGACTATTTTTTAGGGCCGTGGATATCAATACGATTCAAATTTACCCAAGGATATATAACTAAAGCTTATATACCAGGTATATACATTTAAGTATAATTTGGGTTTTTAAATTCTGTTCGGCTTCTGGCTAACCCCTGGCTAATAGCTGTCGAACAGACTATAGGTGGCGTATAGGTGCAGACTTGTGGTTAAAAATGCGTGCAATCCAAAGAATTCTAACCAAACACATTAGTCTATATTAAACCCTCAGAAGATATGTTCATCAACTGATTGATAGAAAGAACTAAATTGGCTATATCACAGTAGGCAGCGAAAACATCAACTTTAATAGCAACTAAAATCTCAATTTGCGCCTCTCGTCCATCAGCAACGGTTCCCATGAATCAAACGTCACGATATTTATGTTTTCTAATTCACAATGGAAAGGGAGACGTTTAAATAGCTTTCCAAGTCTTAAACCATAAAAAGCACACTCCTAACACAAAGCGTAAAACGTAATAGATCATTGTCGGATATTTCATTTTATGAGGGACATCAGAAAACTATGTCTAATTTTAGTGCGATTGGGCTTAGTGGGCGCTGAAATGATAGATTAACTAACCATATTTCGCCAATCATTGTAACAAAATCAGTTGAAAGAAAATATGTTCTCCAAATACAGTAGTCCCTTATGGAAATTTTTAAAATAATTTTCGACCCCAGTTGCAGACACTACACTACTTTTCGACCTCCCTGCGTCGTACACATCATAAACCATATAATAAAAAGTCAAAACGTCCACTAAACCTTGAACGAAAGCTGATTAGTTGGGTTGTTTAAGTGGCCAATGAGTAGCACAAACCGTCTTATCATAATGATGGGGTGAAAAATGATG